TCCTACATATCATATTATATCCCTTGGGTGCATACCTTTTTTTTGGATATTTTCACATAAAAACATATTCTTTTTATATTTTTTATTTAAAAAATAAATACTTATTTAAGTAATAAAGAATTGCTTAATTATTTTGCTCATATGTAGGTGTATGATGAACCTTTGGGTTACCATAAAATTTGTCTATATCTATTCATTATTAATCTATTGATCGAAATCTTTTTTTTTCTCATTAAAAAAACTCAACTTAAAAATATGCACATTAGGAGGGGGAATATGTCATCACCCAATTTCAAAAGAATTAACAATTGACGAGATCCAATTAGTGCGGGAACGTAAGAATCAAAATACTCCATCTATTCTAAAAAACAAATTCTAACTTTTATTAATAACTTGTGCCAAACTTAAATGCACATGCGTGGTATATTCCAAGCATTAAAGGTCAAATATAATGATGATTTAAAGGTCGAATTAAACATCAACTGATGATCTCATTAATATTCTTCCTGATATATAGAAGAGCAAAATGATTAAGACCACAAAGATCGATCGAGATCAACTGGGGACGATATTAAAGATTAGGATCGAACTAGTCCTTATGACAAATCTGGTACACGACTAGTAGTCTCAAATGATCCTTTTTTTATATGGAAAACTATGACTAATCATAGCAGGGCCGGCTCAACTCGGGGGCAAACTGGCCACCTGAACAAAGCCTAATTTTTTAGGGGCCCCCACTTGTGTGTGTCTCTATAATGTTAACTATCTCTGCAAAATATCTCCGTGTTATAGAGGACTAGTGAAAGACCTGTAGAGGACTTGGACCGATCTAAGATAGCTAGAAGAACGATCGAAAGACTAGGACCGGTCGAATAGATTATTGTATAGATCATCTGTCTATATTAAGAGTGTTAGATCCTTGTATTCACAACACAATTAAATACAGAAATATTTTCTCTCATTATTATTTTCTACATGGTACCGGAGTAAATTTTCAAATTTTAAGACCTCAAACATGCTTCTAATCTACTCTCCTTGATCTACTCTCCTATCGGTGGGCATATATACTTCAATGTGAAACGACGATAATTGAAACGAGTAAGACTCGGGAAATGTTAAAATGGATAATGCATAGAAGATAGTTGAAGTAGGTTCGGTTAGATTTAAGGAAAGTAATGGTAATTGTGTCCATTTAAACCAAATTGAAATGTTTTATAGGACAAGTAATATGTGAAAGTTAAAAGGTTTTATGAGACGAAGAAATTAAAGTAGTATTGATAGAATTTAGGATGTGGCAAGAATAACTAGATTGGGCAATAAGACACTTGGGCTGAACTCAATCGCTTATATACCGATTATTTTGCTCTTGAACTTTCGATGTGAGATGACACTCTAACACTTCCCCTCAAGTGGACAACCGTGTTATTTTGAATCTAACCGGTTGACCACTTGCAAATAAAGTCTCATTCCCTTGATTTTTTTTAGCGCCAACACCTAAAGGACCACGAGCCGTTGGGTATGGACTTCCAGACGAGCAATAATCGTGTTAAACGGGCCACAGGCCGTTGGGCACATACTCCATACGGACAACTGGGCTAAAGACTAACGGGCCGCTATGAATGAAAGTCTAGACGGACAACTTGACAAATGAGGGAAAACCTGCTCTGATTCCATGATAGAATTTAGGATGGGATAAAAATAACTGAATTGGGCAATAAGACATTTGAGTTGAACCGCATTAAAAGATTGAATCCAATCGATTAGGTAATTCAACTCAAGAGCTTAAAATTAATGATATGACAATTTAATGTAGTTTTAAAGTAATTTATGATCAAAATTTAAAAAAAAATTGACCAAAAATACCAAAATTGAATGAAATTTTTTGGAGTGAAGGAGTACCATATTTCCCCCCCTAACTTCCGCCCGTATCGATTGCATTGCTAATATCGTACGAAGTACTCCGTATTATACTCCGTATCATCTTTTGCTTTAATGATGAGTGAATTGAAAAGAAAGAAAGTTTGGTAACAATTGATTTTTCTAGGTCTAAAAATATGGTACATAGCACCCACAACGCTTAACATAGAAATTGGATGGTGGAGTTTTATTTCCATGATATGTAAACAAGTCATCCCAAATGGCAATATATCATGATATGTAAACAAGTTATTCCTAAATTTGTTTGTTGCAAGTAAGTACAATAATTAAAAAGAAATCATCCCAAATAGGAGTAAAAGATAGAGAAAGTATCAAAATATGAGTTCCATTTTTTCTTAATCAGGAGTTCGCACTGTGGTAATGTGACACTGTACATGAATGCTTTACTATACCTTTTGGTAATGTGTGTGGTCATGATTGATATTGTAAATGCATTTTAATTGCTATTTTGATAATAAAAACATGAAACTCCTATTTTGATATATTATCAATGTTTTACTCATACTTTAATCCTTTTCCCATAATTAAAAGAGAATGATGTGACACGATATGCGAGAACAAATTACACTTTTACTTTGAAAAATAATGTGATCCTTCTAATAAAAAAAATTGCTGTATCACTTTTAACTACATAAATTAATTTTTTTAATCTCCGTGCCAAATATTGGATGGAATAAACTTTTTTTATGGAGATAAAAATTGGATAATATTTATCCTTTCGTGACGAAAAAGCCCATTATCTGAGTCGGTACATGCATTTACTTAGGGGGTGTATTCAATCAGAAATCTGTTGGATTTTTTTGGATTTTAAAAATCAACAGGTATTCAATTGGGATTTTGAAAAATTATTTAAAATCTAGAGGTATTCAATTAAAATTTTGAAAACTCTTCCTAAATCTAATGGTATTAAAAATTGATAAATTTTGAAGGATTGTTATACAATATGGATTGTGATGGATTTTTGAGCTTGAGTATGAATAAAAATCTTGTTTGTAAATCCAATCAATAGCTTAGAGATTTTGGTTGACTTTGTGTTTCTTCTTTTCTTCTATTTGTTTCTTTTCTGTTCTTCATCTTCCTTTCTCCTCTTCTGCCCTTGTGTATCTTCTTCATCTTTTTCTCTTTTCCTTTCTTTTATATGTTTCTTTTCTGCCGTTGTGTTTCTTCTTCATCTTCTCAGTTCTTCTCTCTGTTGTATAAGGTAGATTCAGCGGAAGAAAGAAGAAGAAGAAGAAGAGAGGCACACGAAAACCTACTGGCAAACTAATACTGTAATACCCTGATTTGAAAATAGATGCATTGGGAAAAGGAAAGGCTCAAAAGGAATGATTGTACTACTCATACCAACAAGATACATCTTCTTTTCGAGAGCTCATCACCTAAAAACTTCAAAGTTAAGCGTACTTGACTTAGAGCAATTTCAAGGATAGGTGACCCCCTGGGAAATTCCTTGGGCGCACACGAGTGAGGATAAAGTATGCGGGAAAGACTTGTGTTGATTTGTGAGGCCAGTCTACAATCTTATGAGCGGATGCTTACGGCCAGGGTAGGGGGCCGGGGTGTTACAGATACTCCCGTCTGAATTGAGAGTATTAAACGAAAACCTACGGGCGATCACGAACAAAATTTCTCAGCGAAGGAAAGATTGAAAGAAGAAGAAGGGAGGCAGTGGCGGTGAATCTGGGTGGCGACGATGGCGGCGGCGGCATCGTGGGAGCTGGGCCGGGAAACGAAAGAAACAAGAAAAATAAAAAAAAAGAAGAATGGTAGCGGTGCGGCGGCTAGGGTTTGTGGGGGAGGAAGGGGAAAAGAAAAGAAAAAGAAAAAAGAAAAAGGAAAAGGGAAAAAGAAAATGAAAGCTAGGGTCCGTGGGGGAAGAAGGAAAAAAGATATGAAAAAGAAAAAAGGAAAAGGAAAAGGAAAAAATGAAAAAAAGTTCAATTATAAAAGAAAAGAAAAAGAAAAAAATGTTTATATATACATAATTCATTGATTACAAATAATCTTTCATAATCATGAAAAATCCTTCTCAAAAATAAATTAAAATCTACTTAACTCTACGTAGACTTAAAATAGCTTATTGATTATACAAAATCCATAATGTATCAGAATCTATTGAAATCTGGATTAAATACATCCTCTTAAAAAGTTTTTGGACCTGGGCTAAAGTACTCTGATTTTCGGTTTGGATATGAATATTGATCTCAAAGATTGTACCAACTTAAAAAGATTGGGCCTATATTCCACTTTGCATTCATTTATTAAATTCAAAAAATAGATCGATTTTTTCTGAGTACTAATGAGATGGCAATTATATTCTAATTTAGTATTTGTTCATATTTTTTACTAATAAATATTTGAATCTGAACTTCTTCCTTGTCTAAAGTGATAGGAAGCTCACTCTCAGAATTCATGAGAAAGTTTACTCAGGTTTGAGTTCCAACGGAGGCTGGGGCATTAGCTCTTTGTGTCAATTGTGCGTCATTAGATTGAGAATAGCAAAAGGCAAAAATGTACTCCCTCCGTCCCCCAGTTTTTGTCCACTTTCATTTTTGCACACCATCCAATGCACTCCTTTAATCCATTTTATCTTGTAATTTGTATATTAAAAATATAGAAATTATATATTAATAATCTATATGTTAAGACAAATCAAACAAGATTACACATGACTATATTTAGGCTTACACATTGAGAGAATTTGATGAGTCAAAGTGCTTAGATGAACAGTTCCAAAAGTAAAAAATGGACAAAAACTGGGGGACGGAGGGAGTAGTATCTTTCACTTTTTTTGTTCATCTCACAAAAATCTTTCAGTTTTCACTTTTTGAATTGTATTATTTCTCTCCTCGCATAATTTTCAAGTGTGAAACACACAATTTTTTTAATTTATGTATCCGATCAAATGTGAAATATCATTACGGGATTGAAGGAAACTATAAAACATATCCCGTGTCTACAAAATAAGTTTGAGTTTTTTGTTAAGTTAGTTCCTTAATATGATATCAAATTAATTTAAATCAAGAACTTATATACGAATTACTTTTCTATTTAACTTTCGATGTGAGATAGACTGAGATAGACTCTAACATGATTACATGAGTGATGAGTATTTGATAAATGATGTTTTGTTTTTAATTTGGACACAACTTGGCCTGGCCATGATTTCTCATCTACCCGTCACGGCCAAATTATTGAACAAAATAATTATACAAGTGGCCATAACACTCCCACCTCCCCGGGTTGGTACCCGTCGTCGGCGACACATTATTAAAAGTGGAGTGCGACATTTGGAACGTACCCTAATACTTATAAATCCTCCCCGGGTTGATTCCCATAATTAATTATAATCAATCAATTTAGTTAATAATAATAATAATAAATGGTTGAATCAAATTCGAAACCCGTGCAACAAAAGCCTCATGCAATGTTATTGAGCTATCCCCTTCAAGGCCACGTCATCCCGTCCGTCCACCTGGCGTACAAGCTGGCGGAGAACGGCTTCGCCGTCACCTTCGTCAACACCCAATCCGTGCACCGCCACCTCTCCAAGAGCAACGCCAGCAGCCACCACCGCGGCGGCGGCGAAGACAACATCTTCGCCGGAATCCGGGAGCGGGCGGGGCTCGACATCCGCTACCTCGCCATCCCGGACGGGCTCCCGGTGGAGTGGGACCGGTCAGAGAACCACGACCAGTTCTTCGCGGCGCTCCTGCACGTGTACTCTGCACACGTGGAGGAGGCTCTCAGGGGAATGCTGAAGTCGACGGGCGGCGGCCCCCCGGTCAACTGCTTGATCGCCGACTCGTTCTTCGTCTTCCCCGGGAAGCTGGCGAAGAAGTATAACCTTCTGTACATATCTTTCTGGACCGAACCGGCTCTGGTTTTTACGCTCTATTATCACCTCCATCTCTTGCGTTTGCATGGCCACTACGACCGTAAAGGTATGCACATATTTTAATATCTTTATTAATTGTATTTGATCATATTCTTTCTATTTTTATAATATACTCCCTTTGATTTATCTATGTATACTTATGTTAAACATAATTTATGAAACATAATGTTTTTAATATATTTACCCCTTGGTTTTCATGACATTGGAAATCAATGTCATGGGATGATCCGATAGTGCTCGGCAGGTACCCGGACACCTCAATCGTAAAATTGACGGTTCTTACCCTCTAACCCCCCAATAAACCTCCTCGCCCCGACCAGAACGCACCCACAACCCCTCCAATTGCACTCCAAGTTAATTTTGACTTTGGAGTCAAAATTTGACTCCAATGCCAAAATTAACTTGGAGAGTGCAATTGAAGGGGATGAAGAGATGTGTTCGAGTCGGAGCGAGGGAGTTAGGGGAGGTAGGAACCGTTAATTTTACAATTGGGCACCGGAACACCCTCAAATCATCCCATGACATTGATGGATATTTATCATAATATATGATGGGTATTTGGCACAAGAAGATATAGAACCGACCAAATAGGTTATTGCACTAATTTGTCCAGCATTTGTGTGGTCTGGGTTGAAGGAGGATCGGAGTCGGGCTTGGGCCGCGAATTAGGAGGCAAGAGATGGTCAATTTCACAAATCGGGGTGATTGATGACCGAATCTTTGCCCATAGTTGGCACCTATAAGATCAATCGAGACAAAAAATCCGGACAACAATCGATTAATGTGTGAACTATAAATAGGGGGTGAAATATCCTTTGTTAGGCTAAGTTTAATTGAGCTAATACAGGCAATAGTGCGATCATATTCTAAGAGATCCATTTTTCTTACTATTGTTGGTGAATGTACTAATCAATACAGATAACAATTATTCAAATAGATGTACATATATGCGGATCACATATACATAGTATAGGGTTTCAAAATTCAAATTTATTTACCAATCAATGTCCACACCCAATAAAAATACTGGTGATTTTAAATTATTGATATGATTTTCATTTTCAAATAATTAACAATTTTCAACATATGGATATTTTATCTATTTTTCAAAAAGAAAACCCAACTTTTTCATAGTGAAAATAATCAAAATATAGTAAAGTTCATAGAATGTGTGAATCGAAGACATTTTTTGTTTAACATTGTTTTACGGATTGAGTATTTTGAACGAATTTGACATTGTTTGGTTTTGGTGGTCACTGTTCAGATTCAGATGTGGGCGGGGAGGAAGTGATCAACTACGTGCCCGGAGTTGAATCAATCCGGCGACGGGATTTGATGTCCTACCTCCAAGCCAAAGACACCGCAACCGTCTGCCACCAAATCATCGACGCCGCCTTCGACGACGTCAGAGACGCCGATTTCGTCCTCTGCAACACCGTCCACGAGCTGGAGCCCCACACCATTACCGCCCTCGAGAAGAAGATGAAGTTCTACGCCATGGGACCCATCTTCCCCCCGGCGTTCTCCGCCAGCCCGGTGGCCACCAGCCTCTGGTCCGAGTCCGACTGCTCCCGCTGGCTCGGGTCCAACCCGCCCGGCTCGGTCCTGTACGTCTCCTTCGGGAGCTACGCCCACCTCTCCAAACCGGATCTCCTGGAGATCGCGTTTGGGCTTTCGCTCAGCGGGGCGAATTTCCTCTGGGCTCTCCGCCCGGACATGGTCTGCTCCGGCGACCCGAACCCGCTTCCTTCGGATCTAACGGAGGAGATCTCCGGCCGCGGGATGATCGTGCCGTGGTGCAATCAGAAGCAGGTTTTGGGCCACCCGGCGATCGGCGGGTTCCTGACCCACTGCGGCTGGAACTCGACTCTCGAGGGGATCTGGTGCCACGTCCCGCTGCTCTGCTTCCCTCTCCTCACCGATCAGTTCACCAACCGGAAACTCATCGTCGACGACTGGAAGTGCGGGCTGAATCTGTGCGACGAGACGCCGGTCTCGAGGGCCGAAATCTCGGAGAAGGTAAAACGGATTATGGGCGGGAAATCGAGCGAAGCACTGCGAGATGCAGTGAAGCGGGTGAAGAAGACGATGGAAGATGCCCTGTTTAGCAAAAACGGATCCTCCCAAGAAAATATGGGTCGGTTCATCAAGGACGTAAACCTTGCGGTTCAAAACAAAGTGACAATCAGTTGATTTTTTTTTCCATTTTATTGTGCTCTAATAAACAGTATTATTAAATTCGGGCCGAACTAGTCGATCGAACCGGTTAAATAAAGACCGGAGATCAAAACGATTCAATCCATCTCTTCAAAAATCAATGAGTTTGCAGATTATCCACCGGTCCGAGTTTAATAATATTGATTATAAAAAGTTAATGTGTGATTCTATGGTGAATTAATAATTTTTTTTCTCACGAAAAGAAATGGTGAAGTGAGCTTTGGGAATAAAAAATTGTTGCAAAAATTAATTGCACGTTCCGTCTCAGTCTATCTTATTTGATATTTCATGGTCTATTTTCAAATTGAATGTTTTATCAATTCAACTTGAAAATTTTCCTTTAAATGTAGGATTAACACTAACTTTAGTTCACTTCAAAATTTAGATGAACTCAGTTCTGATAAATTATTTTTTAAAAACTGCAATTAAAAAAGACAAACTTAAAGTGAATATTTGAGTGTTATTATCTAAATAATCCCTAATAAAATTGAAAAAAAAAGAGACATCAAACTTTCTTTGAAGTTTTGGACAGCAAATAGAGCAATGCAGCAAGTGTTCTTGTTGCTGTAATATGTATAATCTTTTTTTTTTTTTACCTAAAGGGGAAAAGTCTATTCAGAGAGAACATTCTTTTTCTGGCACAAAAATGTAGTGAAACGAAAACAAGCACACGATACGCAGCAGCCATGGCAAGCAACACCAACATGTTTCCCCATTTTGCATCAGTGTAAACAGATGTGTCGTACATATTTTTGAGAGCCTCGAACCCCGACAAGCTCTTCCCCGTTCCATCATCAAACGAAGTGTCGTAGTACTCGTTCTCCAGAAGTCCCTGAAACGCATACGAATTTGTTCAAAAATGCCTTTAGAGAAACACTAACACGCATTATCAACCATTGGGTTTTCAAAAAAGATGAACCACATCCCTAAGGGTCCCCTCAGACTCAGTTAGATGGTCACTGAGAGAAGATAAATTGAACATTGATCGCAGATTGGTGGCAAAGAGTGGAGCCTGCACTTGATACTTGTAGAGGCCCTATGTTGAGCATAGTTGCATCCCAGTGCAGTTGTCAGGAATCAAACTTGGGTGTTACCCCTTTGGCACCCCTTGCCTTGCCAACCTGCGCAATGCCCATCGGCAGCCATTGGATTTTCAGACTTACCTTGAGAGAGTATGTGTGAAATGCCAAATAGGACATAGGGTACATCCACACCGGCCTTGGCAAGTCGTGTCGGATTCTATAGTATCCAGCCGTAAGCATCATGAGCACCTGAGAGAACGAAGACCATCTAATCAATTGAATTCAATCTTTTAATGTGGTCTGAGTAATAGGTTTAGCAAGTGCTCACATGTACTGAGACTAAGGTTATCGTGGTGGAGAAGACGTCTAGACAGATGGAAGAGAAGAAGATGACCATTCCTTCGTTTACCAAGAGGCAGAGGAAGAAGTTGAGCACAAAGTACATCAACAAGCCGAACTCGTTGCGCAGCCCGGCGGCGAAATAAAACACTAAGCTCGACGAAATGGAGATGAGGAACATGAAGGGAATGCTGGAGATTAGCTGTCCAAGCAGGAAAACTAAAGCCCCGGAATGCTGGTTCGAAACTTCACACCTATATATCTGGCATATGTTCATTCATAAAAACCAAAAGTTATTCATATGAAAAAAGAAATATTGCTCAATTGGGAACATCATAAACCACAAACATTACCTTGATTTCCTTCACTAAACAAGGTACACCAGCTATGCTTAGAAGAGAGGACATTGATATGAATAAAAATATTGCTGCAACTCTTGTCTACAATGATTAAAAAAATATAAAAAAATACATGGTATCATTGAAAATAAATTTTTTTTGAGTGGGAAAATAATTTTTTTAAAAGCAAAATAACGTAAAGGAGCCAACTTTCTTGGCGTATATATTGACACACATACCACAACAGATGACAAGGAATGGCCAAGCCCAGAAAATGCAGTGCCTATAGAGAGAGCCAAAAGAATATATAGGATTAACCTAAGCCAGTAGTATTTCCACTCTCTTGACATGATCAACACAGATCTCCATGTCAATACTACGATTTGCGTCGTAAGGCTTGCCCGTCCTTTGCTTTTGAGTAACGGGCCATCCTGTTGCGACGAAAAAAGCACAGATAGAAAAAAGTGTTTGAATAAATGTTACTTCCTCCATTCCATATTAACTTTAACTATCGATTAACACTTTCTTGGTACATTGAATAATGAATGAATGTAGACATGAGGTACGTCTACATACGTTCATTTTTTAATGTATCAAGAAAGTCATAATGGACAGTTAATATGGAATGGAGGGAGTAGAATATAAAAACCTTTATGGCCCGTTTGGTACACGGAATTGGAAATGAATTGAAATTGAAATTCTATAAAGTTGAATTCAACAGAATTAAATTCTCTAATTCCTATTCATTTTTTGCACTAACAATTCCAAATCTAAATATTTTTATGCTACCAAACAGTAGAATTGAGATTGAAGACCTCAATTCCAATTCCAAGGCTTGAATTCCGTGTACCAAACAAAGCCTTATTGTGCCTACAACCACGAGCTTGAAATTTTGGCTGAGTTGGTTCTTTGACAATAAATAATAACCTTTAATGTCATTTTTTTATAGAAGAAGTCAACAGAAATACCCTCTCAGTGAGCTTCACTATCATGCTTTCAACAGCAGTTGCAGCATCTGAAGATTTGTATGTCACTTCAAGTGTCTGTATTGCAACAGCAGTGTCCATGTTCACTGCAGATGAATCTCCCGGTTCATCCTGTCCCAATCATTCATTCAATTGCCCAGAAAGATCTAATTTTTATTTCATGGAGTATGTTTTAAACACATAAAGTTGCAAAACCAGAGATTTTTCATTTGTTTCGAAAGCAATGGCTTTAAAAGTACCTGCCAATTCTTGCAGGTTGAGATAATCCTGTCGAAGTCGGTGTTGATTGCGCGCAGAAAGTGATCAGATGGACTTTGCATGATTGGGCAAGGAAATCCAGCATTGGAGAAGTGCTTTAAAAATTTTCAAGAAAAAAAAAAGTAAATAAATTATGTGCTAGTGTTTCCATCTTATAACTATCCAAGGTAAAAAAATAATAATAACTTGATCTGAAGAACTCTTTATTCTTTTTACCTGCAAACAAGCTAGTGTTTCTCCGAAGAACAGCGTGTTTCCATTTGAAAGGAGGCAAATTCTATCAAAGAGACCAAACACTTCTGTACTGCTCTGATGAATGGTGAAAATTAGGGTGCATCCACTGCTTGTGAGCCTCTTCAGTGTAACCATCATTAGGAGTGCAGAAACACTTCACACATACACACACACACACACACAGTTACACATCATCATGCCACAATGAATGGTAAGTACTATATAATCATGAGAAAAATGACTTTTTTTCAGGACAAAATAACAAGTAGAACGAGAGGCAAACCTGTCGAGACAATAAAGGGGCTCGTCTATGAACATAACATGTGGTCTCATCACAAGTTCCCTAGCAATGGTAACGCGCCTTTTCTCACCCTTTGGAAGACCCTTCATGCAACAGTGACCGCCAATTAGTTTGTCACTGCAATCTCCCAGTGACATTGCAACGATGGCATCCTCAACCACATCCTTAGTCTGCCAAAAGAAATCTGGGATTTGAAGCCATGCCGAGTAGTAGAGGAACTCGCGAACTGTCAAAGATCCTATAAGTGTTGTTTCCCTCTCAACAAATCCCTATTGATCAACAAAAAAAGATGCAGTTGGGATGCATTGAAGAATTCAGGCAAATGCTATGGAAAGGAAAGTTATTTTCTTTTGCTTGGGTCTACTACAACCACAAGTTTAAGATTTCTTAGTCTTTATATAATATATACCTAAATAAATGGAATGTTCTTGTCTTTTTTTTTCACCACATTTCCCTTCCTTTCTACCTAGACCCTACCCTTGTGGGATTTATCTGGGTTGTTGTTGATATTCCCTTCCTTTCTATTTCCCTCTATGTTTTTCCTTCCTGTTTTCTTTCCCTGAAATTTTCAGCCTCAACTGCAACAACCCGATGGGGTCCCACAAGTTTGTGCAGGGTGGCCTGAGTGGGTGTATCCCGACCTTACCCTTACGGCACTGCCTATAAACTAACACCTAATCGATAGATCTCCAAGAAAAAGGGAAAAAGGATGCAGAATCTGTAAAACCTTTCAGTTAGAAACCATACAAATTAAATAGAAAACTTACATAAGATCCATACGGAATGTAAGACTTTGAGCCATTTGCAAACACTTCACCATACATTTTGGCTGAATCAGGCAACCTACCTTAAGGAGATAAACAAAAATTGTTTCAGGTTCCATTAGTAGTGAGGTACACTTCCAGTCATCACTTGATTACAAGCTACAACAAACCTGCAAGAGCTCTCAAAAGTGTCGATTTTCCCGACTTGGCAGGACCCATGATGACAGTCATAGTTCCTGGCAATGCATAGCCACTTGAAGTCTTGATCACCTTATTCGAGTATTTCCTCTTACCCTTTATGGTAACCGTCAAGTCTTTCCAAGCAACCGAAGCACCAGAAACAGTCCTCTTCACTGGTGCCAACGACTCGCTGTTAAGTCTTGCAAGGAATGGGGAGACCTGAGCAGCTGTAAGATTGACAGATTCGCCCCCGTCATCCACTTTAACCTCAATGTCAGTGTCATCCCAGACGGGTGAATCTTCAAAGGAGATCGGTTGCCTGATTGTACCGGGCCTCCTAGAGTAAAAGAAATTATTGATTGATGATGATGGTACCCGGTTCGAGGGACTACTTGCTGAAGATGATGAAGATCTGTACTGATCCAATTGAGACTGTATTTCTTCCATCTTTCAAGATTTTCTTTTTATTCAGTACAGATCAGCATTATATATAAACCTTCAATTACACTGCATCCCCAACTTAAATCCTGCACGAAATTTATAACAAAAAAACATTTAACAACATGAATCAAGTTATCAAATCTCAGACCCCAGAAAGAAAACACAGACCCCAGAAAGAAGGTACTATAGTCTATAGGTATATGATCGAATACTTACACTATAATCAAAATCAAGAAATGGGTATCTGCAGATGATGTCTGAGAAGTTCAAAGATCGAAACTTTAGGTTCCCACCAAGACCATAAACCCCCAGAGCCTAAAACCACAGTCCATACATGCAAAAGAAAGTTAAAAACAGCACCAACAAAAGCAGTAGGAACTAAGAAAATGGAAGAACCCGAAGCATTAAGAGCACGAATGAATAATATGAATAGCCGGAAAGAAGAAGATGATATAAAGAGGAAGAAAAGAGGTAGCAGCCATGGATGCGCTTACGAAATGAGGATTCAAGAACAGAGAAAGAGTGAGAAAGAAGGGTGATGTGCTCTGCGGCAGAAAAGAGTGAGAGAGTGAATGAAATCAAAGTGGGGTATCCGGTCTCCACGCTCGAGAAATTCCTCTTGACCCATTAGTCCATTCTCTGTCACCTTTATTCAAGTTCTACGTAACTTTTAACCCCTCATTAAAGAAAACAAATGAAACAAAAATCGTCCTCTTGTGACCACAATTTGAATTGATGACATTAAATTTTGCAAATTTTGCAACATCACATTTAAGTTGAGGTTTGTTTTTTGTTTGATCTCATCTGTAGTCTGATTTTAATAATAATAAATACTAAACTGAAAAAAATAAATTGAACGAAATAGACCCTTACACCTTCCGTCATTAAACTAACATTCCATTTAAAATTTAAAAATACATTTATATATTATAATCATATTAGAAGTTATATAAAACTAAAGGTGATATAAATTTATTATTTAACCCAATGACTAATAAAAATATGTAAGGAAATTAAATAAGTTTTGATATTGTTAAAATATAGTTTTATGGCGGAGGTAGGATAAAAGAAATGTTAGACTTAGGAATAAAAAAAGTCATAAAATTTAGATATTTACCATTTTTGAGTCCTACCAAAAGAATAAAATAATCTTAAATAATTAAAAAAATGATCAAATAATAGATTTTTAATTTTTGTGACATTTTACTTGTGACATTAACATTTATGAATTTATAATCCCTCCTATCCTCATTAAGATCCTGATGTCTCAAACTTTTTCTTATAATTGACGAGTATTACTTATTGTTTATTACTTCGGGAAGTTTTTTGTGTGAACTGAAAAAGTATTACTTAATCAAAATTCTTATTAATATCAGACTAGACCAGATTGAAAACAATTTTAAATAACTCTTTTCTTCTAAACAAATTTTAATTATCCACTTTTCCTTTTTCAACTTTTTTACTTTGACTCCAAGAAATCAATGTTTTTACTTAGACTCCAAGAAAGTAAAGTGTGTCAATTAACTAGACACATAGGAAGCATAATTTATTAAGCATAATTTAATCATGTGAATAGTAAAGAAAAAGATTTCAAAAGAGAATGTGGTGTGCGACCATAATAGATGTACCATTAAAGTTTGGTGCATCTAGCAAATCTCCAAATACAACATACAAAAAAAAAACTTATCAAAGTTAAAATGAATATATACACAAAAACTAAAGATGGAATTGTGCAATCTAAAAAAATTTTAAATTATAAAACAACTTCATTTTAGGCGGCGGCACCGCCGCCTACCCTTCTTGGGATTGGTTTGTAAAGCACAACGGTGACGTATTTTGAACGGAACCGGTGGGTTGAACCTAGCGCCACAACGGTTCTTGGTGTCTCTCTGTTGTTGTTCTCAATGTAAAGGTGGTTTAGGACCACGTTCTGCGGCGAAGGGAGTGGAGGAGAGGATTGATCACCTTTTGTAGGGTCGTTTAGGACGGTCTGGTGGAGATGCGGAGGGAATAAAGGTGGGTCCCGCCCCTCGTCTTCGCTCCCACGGTACACATTGTTGTAGCTTGAATCCGGGGATCTCGGAACTTCAAACCCCACCACAGTCAATTCATCCTGTACACACACCACATCAAAAGATTCATAACATGTGTTCCTTTAGCTTCTTCTCTGTCCAAACAAACCCTAACTTATTTATCAAATTATTTAATTTTCGCTAAAATGAAGATGCAAGACATAACCATTCTGTCGTCATCTTTTGACAAGAACCTCAAGTTCTTGTGTCATCAGGTTTGAGTGTCATATTATGACACCTGGGCCCTACGGTCTCCCATTGGCCCCCACCCCAAAAACCTACTGCTTCCATGCACCCTGCCTCCAACACCCCTAGCCCCCCTTATGGATTGCCAATATGCTACAATACTCTAGCATATCAGAGCAATCAAGGAGGGGGCTAGGGGTGGGGGTTAGGGAGCACAGTAGTACCCCCAAATGGCTCGGTGTAATATAATGACACCAAGTGCGGGTGTTAAAAGACCCTTGCCCATTAAAGAATGCATTTTTAATTAATTCAGACCATTTAGTAATTTCAACCACAATACCACCAGCAATTTAAACCATTACCATTTTGGCCAAATTTCACCCACCAAGCAGGTCTAAGATTAGAAACTTACGTGATTTTCTCCATATTGGCAATTCATCTTGAAGGAAGTGTGACAAGGGGCTATACGAAGGGTGTAATACTTGACGCTTCTATTGATAGATGGACCTGAAAAATTGTCCTTCTATCAGCATACAATGGAGAAATGACTAATGAGTAAAAGGGCATACTTTATTACCTCAGATAATCTAAAACAATAATAATACAACTTTGACTAAACACTTTATCTAATATAACAAGACATGCAACACCAAGAAACTTGAGGGGTAATAAACATATTCCTCATCAGAGACTTAGCTAAACACATTACTATTAATCCTCTTTTTTTAAGTATATAATAACAATAATGATGATTTCTAGTTAACTGAGGATTTAAAATATAACACTTTCACCCACCAAAATGTGCCCTGCTAGAAAAAAAAACATGCCATTGCCAAAAGACAAGAATGTGGTGAAGCTATTACAGACCATGATCAAGCTGTGCTGTAAAAAGACCAAAAGACCCATACAATGTGCGACTATATATAATTTCTTTTTAAGTCCGACCATCAGGTTTTATCAGAGTATACAAGATGCAGAGTAACAAATATAAAGCCCAGTTACAAAAGTCTACAGCTGAGAAAGATCGAGGAATATTAATTTTGTATCGTTTTCATGGCTATGAACACTTGGACTAAAGGTTCCGTGGTCAATAGCAAAAATGAATCAACAGAAAGGACACATTTAGACTAAAGGTGCCTTTAAAATCTTATTCTTTATCATATACGTAACACTTGCATCTCGGTCCATTTCCTATTCTTATTCTTTATCATATCTATTCTTATTTAGCTTATAAGAGGCTTTTGTTGTAGATGTTATGTGGCTGATTTAGTTGGTTGTAAACTTTAATATGTTTTGGTAATGAAGTTGTGTTTTTGTGCAAAAAAAAAAAACACTTGCATCTCGGTCCACTTCCTATTCTTTTGAAAGATGCCATTTTGAAGTTCATTTGGTTTCCATGCATCATAGTTTAAAATTTAATGGGAATGCATTTGGCAGCTAGACCAAGCCCATTAAACACTGCTATGAATCTACAAGCATATGGTGGCAACTAAGAAAGTGGCATTTATCGAAGACCTTTGTGAAGATAATGATACTCTGACCTCAAGAAGTTTATGTTCAGTTCTATAAATTGAACATAACTAACATCTTACTTTCCCTAGTTCACCCTTTTTCCTTCTATCTAAGCTTTGGGAAATGGTGTGACCCACCTTAAAAACACTTCTCTAGTTCTCTTCCATGCAAAAACAATAAACATAAACTTTTATGCTTGAAATAAACTAATGTAGATCCACGGGACAAGACAAATACAGATATTAGCCATAGTCCATACAGAAATATGGGATTCCAACCCAAAATCAATTGACAATGAGAGGAGTAAATCTTTTTTAACTCGGGTATTCGATGTGAGACTATATCCTCAACAAGCAATGGTACATAACCTACACTGACAACCATTTTTGTGAATGTTCAATCAAAATCTGGAAAGTTTACTTTGCTCTAATATTGAATTCAACAATACTTGTTGCCCTAGTCCTAGCTTCAATTGAATACTAAAGCAATCACTCGAACGAACATATAATGAGATCCAACTCTTGAAAAGCCAGCACAGATCATTTCAGCATAATGCTAATGTGAAATCAAACTGAATAGCAGAGTCTATATTCAACATCACAGATATAGGAACAAACCTAAGTTAGTGATCCAATCAATCTGGAATTTCCTCGATCAACAGCTTCTCTTTATATCCCTACAGTCCGAAAGAATCAAAGAAGAATCACTGACTAATATGATCCACCCAAAACAACAGCAAATGAAGTAATCCGAGAGAGAAAGTGAGAGAGTGAAAACCCACTCTGAATAAGAACTTTTTTTCTTGATGGGTATGAACAAATTAAAGTGATCAAAAGTGTTAAATCAAATTTAATAAAGATATGCGGAGTATATAAACACACAAAACGAGCTAAACCCACCAAAAAAATCTGTAAAACAATTCGACAAGAACACAAAAAGATTCTTTTTGAAACAAAATTAATAGAAGAGTGAAAGAGAGAAGACCGACAACGGACCAGACAACAATTGAGTAATTGACAGAGGAAGCAAAGATGAAACAGACAAAATAAAAAACCCCCCAAGGTAAGGAGAAGCTGAGGAAAAAGTGATAAGGACAGATGTCTGTGTGAAGGAGTGGGATGAAGAAGAAGGTCGCAGGAACCCTAATAAAAGAATCCAAATTCAAGAAAACACCAACCGGGTTGGTTCCAGGTGGAAAGCGCTACGACGGACGGTATCCTGCTACTCTCTTCTTCTTACAATAATTTAAGGAGTATATTTTTTCATAGTTCAAAATTATACTCCCTCCGTCTTAAAACTATTTTCCCGTTTGTGTTTACGATGTTTTACCGACTTTATTTTCAATTTAATTTATTTGATTATAGGTAAAATTAAAAAATAAAATTTACATAATTAAAAATTACATTAAAAGTTCTACAGAATGAGAGGTGACAAGACTATATTATTTTATCAAATAAGAAGTGCAAATAGGTAAAGAAAGTGATTTAAGTTTGACCGTGTGAATAGTAACTGGGAAGATAGTTTTAGGATAGAGGAAGTAGAAATTTTTGTCACTTCTTGTTATGTAGAAATTTTTATGTATTCCTTAAATTTGTAAGTTTTATTTTGTATTTTATAATAGTCATTAAAATAAAATGAATTAAAAAAATTTAAAATTTTATTTTATTTTACGTAAAATCTAAATCATTTAGGAATAGATATACTCCGTAGTATAATTTATTTCTCGCTTTCTTTCTTGGGTCTTCTTATATCTTTTTCCTGATTTCTTTGATTAACCAAAGAGTTATGTAAAAAAAAAAGACTAACTTAAAGGAGCTTATATAGAGTATATTCAATAAAGATGAATTTTGTGGAGTCATGTTTGACTCTACAGTGTTAGTTTGGACTCTACAGTGTTAGGATTAGACTTGCACAAATTTGGATTCGGGCCGGATCTGAGTGGAACCCGAGGTCAATTTTTTGGCTTGGCTAAGAAAGAGAATCTACTCTAAAACAAGAAAAAAATGTTATGTTAACAAGTGGTCTTCATGGAAGAAAATCCTACAAAATAGTACCTGGAGTAGAATATTTCTTCAAATTACAATCATTTTTTGTTTATCTCAGAATAACTTTACACTTTCATATTTTCTTTTGAGAAATAAAATAATCCATCTATTTTGAATTAAACGTTTCACTTTCCTTTCATTTTGTCCCAAAATAATTGTATAATTCCTTAGCTTTTCTAATATATAAAAAATATTACCCACAATTTTTCCTTTTAAACAAATTTCAACTAACTCATTTTTTTAAAAATTATAAGTCATTGTGTCAATTACTCCGTAATTTGGTATGGAAGATTAGAAGACGTGCGTACAATTCCCACGACCCATTTTCAATTTTCAACATTCTTCTTTTTATCTCCATGTCTGTGTGAAGCATGGGTGCACCCTAGCATTATTCTAATTCAATAGGGAGGAAGTAGTTTTGCCAATTCAGTAAAAAGCCAATAAAAGCTTGTCCCGGCGTGAAGACTTTTCCGATGGTTTACACCAAGTTTACCATTGTATTTATCTTGAAAAAAAAACTTTCAAAAAGTTAGTTCAATGTAGAGCTGACAAAACGGTCGGTCAGGTCGGGTTCGAGTTTGATCATCCTGGGTTCAGATTACTTCGGGTTCGGGTATGTTCGGGTTCGGATTGAGAGCTAGATGTTCATGACCCAATGTCATCGGGTTTGGGTCGACCCAACGGGTTATGCGTTTCATTTATTTTTTGAAATTTTAAGTAATTTTTATTACCGATTATCAATATTACGAATAAAAAAACTAAATATGCAGAAAATTTTAAAAAACAGTAAGATAATTATGCGATATCATTAAATTTTTGTACGAAAATATAAATTTATACATCAAAAATGAGTAGAAAGCTAAGAAATATTAATAAAATCTTATTTGTATAACATTATATTACATATTAAAACATATGATTTGAAAAATTCTCACATTAGCGGGTCGGTTAGGTCGGGTTCAGGTTCGGTCGGGTTTGACCCATTTTTAGCGGGTCATTTCGGGTTCGGTCAACTTCAGGTTCAGTCAGCAAAACCTTTATTCAAAACCCAGTATTTTCGGGTCGGATCTCGGGTCAAAAACAGGTCAGGTCATTTTTTGCCAGGTCTAGTTCAATGTATTGATATGCAATGTAATTTTTACAATATTAAATTGAGGATCAAAGTTTGTTTCTTCAAAAATGTCATCATCATCAATTCCGAACAGTTTTGTTTCACATTTAGATAACTTAACAAACCATTTATATCAAGTTCAACTTTTGACAATTGCGCTGGGAGACGCTGCAAGTACCAGATACAAGCTTCACTCTTTGTCATCAGTCTACGATCAAAGTCCAATTTACCCCCTCTCAGTAACCGTCCGGCCGAGTATAAGGGGGTGGGGCTCATCCTTTTTAAAAACTATTTATACTTTCCAGTTCTGAACTACAGTACCATTTAAGCCAACAACAAATTGCGCCAGACATCCAGATTGTTGATACTCATGAAAAAAAATGTTGGTGAAGTTGCACAATTTAATGGAAANCATAAGCCACTATATCCTAAAAACACACTCTTGGGACTGACTATTCAGAAGGGACACAGTGCTCCAAGCAAGCAGCTCTCATGTTATTCCCTAGTTTTGAACATGCCTCAATGCATAGCTCCATTGCCTGCAAAAGTTCAGAGTTATATTCCAATATGCAAAACACACACACACACACACACACACACACACACACAAACACACACAGCTTAGGCTGAGGAAGCCATACTTCATTCAACTTTGGGGTGGTCCATTCCCCGGTGAAGAACAATTGAGTGATCTCCTTGCGCGATGCCATACATGACATCGTTAAGCTTTTATCTTGCAAGCTTTCCTCTTCTGAAGTCGGATCTATGAGAAGGTTTTTCCCCACACAAGACTGTATATATGTAATAGCGTCATCATAAGATTAAAATATAAAGTATAAAAAGGGAGAGTTTTTCGATGTGTGAGTACCACAGAAACTGCGGCAACCAAATCATACAGCAAAATCCCTGCATCAGCTAACGCTAGGCTTGCACATGTTATGATTACAGGAAGATCGCCTGCATGTAAAACACATGCTATGTATGGTTAAACTGGAGATTGAGGACTAAGATGCAAACAATGCAATGTGCTTTTAGCCTTTTAATTAGATTTGTCTAATCCAAAAATTAGATTACCATCAATCACATTGAGATTACAGTCAGCATACTAAACTTGATCCTGTTACTCCCTCAGTCCCCATTAAATGAAGATGGTTTCACAAAGGTACAACTCTTGAATTTTAGCAAGGTACAACTATTGAAAATCACAAAATATATCTGATCTTTTAAAATGTATTGGTTCGTTTTACTAAACTTACAAAGCCCAACTTCTTATTTAAAAAACATCAAATATCATGAGGATTAGCATCGTTTATTCAATTAGAACTTTTAAACAAACAAGATTAAAAAATGACTCTTTTCTTTGGACAAAAGGAGTATATCTCTAAGCAAGTAATTATGTAGTAAAACAATATAGCTCCGGTTTAATTTTTGCTCTGTATAAAATTCAAGTATTCCTGATCTATAATACTCCGTATAACATAGAGTAGGATAACAGCAATTGCAACAAAACAAAAAATGATACATAAAACAATATGTAACTTACTGCCACCAGATTCCAAAACCAACGCAAATACATCCACAGTGGTCTTTGGAAATGAGTCAAGCATTATGGCACCTTCCAAAGCTTTGTGCAGCATTGAGGACAGCTCTTTATTCTCTGCTGACTACACTACAAAAGAACATTTCAATATCCAATCGAGAGTTTTACAATCACTAGATGTCAGACAGAGAAAAGAATAAATGGGTGGGTAAGAACAGATCATGTGACGGAAAACCCAGATTGGTCTCAACCATACCTGCCCACGAATAGGAGTGGAAAAAGTTGCATAAGTAACATTACAATTCAACCTCCCTGTATGAATGTACGTCATTGCTTTCTTACTCTCCCTTGGCCCAAATCTGAACCAACAGACAACAAAATTAGTCAATCAACACAGTACCACACAGCCCTAAAGATGCTACGTTATTACACACAGCCCTAAAGATGCTACGGTCTTACTCTCCCTTGGCTGTCTACGGTATTACTCACAACTACGATCACTGAGTGGATTCGTTGCCTTGTTCCGCGACGAGAATCCTAGGATGAGCTGGAACCCAACGTTGCCGCAACAAGAAGCGGAAAGATGAGGCTGATGTGTAGCTACGGCGGAGACATGGTTCCTCAACCGCACGATGAGTCTCACTGATAAGTCGGCGACAAATATATTTTGGCTTTGATTGTTCCTCTGTCATTCAAAGTTTGAAGTATTTCCTCAATTGATTCCATTAGCAGAAACAATGAGGAATTCACCACCAATTACGGTGCGCCTAGAGGATGAAGGGAGGGAGTTTAGGAGCACTTCAATTCAATCTCCTAGTTGGCAATTGGGGTTGTGGCCACAGGTCAAAATCAACAATTGGAGTGACGGTGTGCGGCATTGTTTTACATGAGGAAGGCAAAATTGGAAAGTCAATAGGTTTTTCATTTTACATTAAAAATCGTGCCAAGCCAAAATGAAAAATAAACAACTTGGACGAAGGGAGCGCTTTTTTTTACCTCAATATTGGAATTCTACTTGATTTCAACTTGCTTCTAATTGTGAAAATACTCATGCTGTAATCGTGTACTGACTGTACTCATTCATTCATGTTGCAAGAATATCTTTATCACATTACAGCTAATTCCAAACTATTTATTATAGGCAAATTCTTTCGTGGTCCTTAGTTGCATACTTATTTTATGGACCTTGATACATAAAATTATTATCTACAGTGGGTCTTGCAAAAGAAAAGAAATTCAATCATGAGCCTATGGAAAATATACGAAAGGTCATTATTTCACATGTGAACCTTAGGACCACAATAGCACAACTCTTTAATACGAGTATATACTACTGCATAAACCAGTGTGTACATGCCTCTGATGTTGTGAAATATATACAAATAGATTTGGAATTCCCCCGATCTTTGACATATCATTTACTAAATTTACCAAAATAGCACTTCTTAATGTAAGCAAAGGGGGTTGACCTGACCTAAATTTATTGAAGAATAAAGAAAATATCAACAAGCCAACATGATTACATGATGCAACTGTTTAAGACTCCTTGAAAACAACAACAAAACTCAATATAATCCCAACTCCATTGGGATCTAAGGGGGCAAAATGCACACAACTCTTGCCCCTGACTTGTTTACATTAGACCCTTGAGACATCACTTCATTTACTGCCCAAAACTTCATAAAGATGTAAGAAGGAAAGCAAGTTTGTGTAGGGGCAAGATACAATTGTTGAAGCAAGAATGAGAGAAAAATATGAAGGAAATTGATGGAGAACATGAGAAGCAAAGAAAAGCACAAAAATGGAATAAATTCATTGCAGCTTTGTGAAATAGAAAGAGAGCACACACCAAAAGAGAATCAAAGCCCTGAAGTTTTTACCCAATGTTTTCAACGAAACCTCTTATGGCAAAGTACACTATCAGAAAAAGAGAAAGACTTAGACAATATCTTTAACTTTTTTTTTTCATTTTTAGTCCCAGTTCCTACAACTCGATCGAAGTAGGCAAGAAAGGGAAAATAAAGCAAGGATGCACATGAAACAGCAGCAAGATGCACTGAATAGCTGAAATGCTTGAATTCAAAAGTATATAAAAATATAGCAGCAAAAGAAAAAGCTATTTAAACACTCACACTGAAACAATGACCTTAGTATTTCCAAATTCTGCATAAGCGGATCCTGAAGCTGCTTTCACTGCACCAGTGTTTAGCACTGAAAAATCCAATAGATTATACTTTTAATAAATATGGGATATATTTTTAATTAACTCTAGAAGTAATGGAGCATAATAAACCCTAGAAGACACATTTCTATCAAATTCATAACCTTCTTTACAGAAAATGTTCCGGACACATTAAAATCTGCAGAAATCAATTCTCCAAGGGAGACAAGATAAGGTTTAAGTGTAACTTATGCAACAATGAATTTACTGATTCATAAAGAAACCATAGACATAATTTCATGAACGCTCATAAAAAATATTATGCTGGAGAGAAAGAGAGAGTGTGTGCGCATACATGCTTCGCGGCACCCGTAGAAGTGACGGCCGTCCGAACGAACCCAATCGTCGCCGGCGGGAACCGATGCTTTCTCCATTCGCTGTGATGGAAACGGAGAATACGTCTCCGGTGCCGCGCTGAATTTTCCGGCCATTTGCCTTCAAATTATGCGAGGGAGAGGGGGAAAGAGAGCGTTGGCTGTCGGAATGCAGAGGAGAGTTTCAAACTCTGCTTCGCTCGGGTCACATAGGGAAGATGATGGGCCTGGACTTATATTGAGTGGTCGCATCCCGTCGAATGGTTCGAGTTTGTTTCGGTCCGATCTTTGGCCCAAACAATTTATTTTAATTTTCTGAAATAGTTTATTTTTACAATCTAAAAAAACAAAAATCGTTTTTTGTCCTAATTTATCACATCCGTGCTATTTAATTACGGAGTATTTATTCTCTCCAACCCAAATTAACCTTCATGTTTTTCTTTTTGGACGTCCCAAAAAAAACTTCATTTCCTTTTAAAAAATATTTTTGTGTGATTCACTGTCTTTTTGTATCCTATATACCCTTTTCGCCAACTAATTTTACTTTTCTTAAAATTTGTGTCAAATTCAATCAAGAAAAATAATTTGAGATAAAAGAGGAAGTATTATGCAACAATAATACTTTTATTGAAATAGAAGCTATATTGAAAGCATAAAATATACTCTGTATATTTTAACTTAGTGCAATACACACCAAAATGAGGTATCTCATTTGTACCCAAGACATTCACAGACACACACAAACTCAAACTCTCTATATCCGTGCTTGCACACAAAGTTTAGGTGTATCAGTGAATGCCTAGGCTACAAATGGATTACCCCAAAAGGGTACATGTAGGTTAATTCTTTAACTTATATGTACTTTTTTTCCTTTGGAAAATTGTGTTATGATAACTTACATTTTTATATTTATAACAGAAAATGTAAAACAAAATTGTTGCATAAGTATATAAATGTACGGAATATATCTTTACGAGTAGACAAATTAGACTTTGTTCGGTCTCGATCACATTTAAAAATTAATATAAAAAAGGCAAATCTAATATTGGTTCCTAGAAATTTTGCTGTAATTCTTCTTTAAAGGAATCATCCATGTGACAATCGTCTTACGCAACACAACTTTATATATTTGTCGACAATTGCACTCCATGAAACCAAATATACAAACGGTAATGTTAAACTTGAAACATTTTAGCACGGTTCATAAAAGAAAACCCATGTTTGCAGACTATTTTGTCCAAAGAATCATACTCCGTATGTTAAAACAAAATAAAACGACTAACTTACACACACACACACACACACACACACATATATATGTATATGTATATATATCTATATATATGTATATATATATATATGTATATATATGTATATATATATGTATGTATATATGTATATATATATATGTGTGTGTGTGTGTGTGTGTGTGTATATATATATATGTATATGTATATATATATATATGTATATACTACCTCCGTCCCACTCTTTTTGTCCAGTTTTGACTTTTGGAACTGTTCATCTAAGCACTTTGACTCATCAAATTCTCTCAATGTGTAAGTCTAAAAATAGTCATGTGTGATCTTGTTTGATTTGTTTTAACATATAGATTATTAATATATAATTTTTATAATTTTTTAATATATAAATTACAAGATAAAATGGATTAAAGAAGTGCATTGGATGGTGTGCAAAAATGAAAGTGGACAAAAAGAGTGGGACGGAGGGAGTATGTGTGTGTGTGTGTGTGTGTGTGTGTATATATATATATCATGAAATAATTTTTAATTAATGCCCGAGTATATTAGCAAAAGTTTATTAAAGATAAAGGAATGCTGCAATCACTGGAGCACAATTTTCCCCCATTACAGAGGAAAGGAAGAGTGGTTAATGAATACAGAAAAGATGCATATATTTACACAAAAGCTGGTGGATTCTTCCCAGTGCAGCCAAAACAAAATGGGGAAAAAATGGGGGAAGAATGTGCACAGATACAATAAAACCTCTATATATAGTAATAATACTGTATTACCATATGTAAGAATAACCTCTATGTTAGTGCCACTATGCTGAAAACATGCATCCCAAGGATATTCTTATAGAGGTTTTACTGTATTAAATAACCTGCGGGGAGCAGAGGGGCCGGGGTGGATGATCTTCAATTCATGTCATCCATGGCACGAATGCAATTCCCTGCGAGGACAAAAACACTTATTAAAGGACAGATGGATCTTTCAAAATGTATGGGTCAATCGTCATCAGAGAGATAGACGACATCCATGGGGGCATTTGTTTGAGCTGCTGAGGTATTATCCATTATTCCAAACTCGGACAAGTCTATCATATCAAATGCTGCGTCGAATTCTGGTAGGGGAAGGAGAATATTGTTGTTTTCCGTGGTGTCATTTGCAACCAACTGTTGAGGAAGTCGAAACGGCACTGCATGTGGCAGCTGAGGTGGCAGCTGAGGGAGGGGTGCAGAGGTGGTGGCAGCACTTGTGCTGATTTCTGGCAAGTGAGGGAGAGTATTATTGTTGGTTTCTGTGTTTTCGGTTACAACCAACTGTTGAGGAAGCCGAAAAAACACTGCCTGTGGCAACTGAGGTGGCACCTGAGGGAGGAGGGGTGCAGTTGTGGTGGTGGCAGCACTTGGGATACTTACAGGTCTGAATAAGTGAAGGTGTGGGGCCGGTGCACGTGCACGCATATCTCCAACAGATATCCTCGTGTTACCCCCTGAAGGCAACATGTCACCAATGAGCGGCGGTCGTGCGGGAACTGAAGATGATAGAGTAGGCTGAGTAGCAGTAGCAGAGGGGGAGATGGATCTGGAGATGTTGGGGGAAGGGTTATTATTATATGCCCAGGAGAAAGGTGATGGGACAGAAGAAGCATGCTGGTGGCCAACCATTTGTTGGGGTTGGACAGCTTGAGATGAAAAACTGGGGACAGATAGTTGTGTCCTTAAAGAAAAACCTGGCGGATTAGATGCTTGGTGTGAAGCTGGAAGAAATACAGAGGGAGGAGGTCTCAATGCATGAAGCACTGATGCATTTTGTAGCTGCTGCTGCAGCAGCATATAACTGGGAGGTTTAGCTGCAGAAGAGAATGGAATGTTCAGTTGTAATTGCACCAAAAATAACACATCAGTATAAAAATGCCAAAATAAAATGGTAAAATCTGAAAAAAAGTTTTTTTAAAAGACGAGAAAGATTCTCAGTTTCTCATTAAATGGTTTGGCCCACTTATGCTCAAAGCTCACTTATACCTAAAATGACCAAATTCTAAAGACACTTTTAGAAGCCACATAGTAGAAAACCCGCCTGGAATATTGTTCATTATAATACCCTGCCGTGACAAAGAAGTCATGTTTCAAATCATGTGCCAAAAGAAGTATTATACTTGTAGTTAAAACAACAAATAATTGAAATAAAATTTATCAGTAAATATGAATATGAATACATGTCCTTTAACTGGTTTACCATGCCAACATTAAAGACTTCTACATTCACCAAACACTACAACATGACTCTTTTTTGGGACGGATGGAGCACTTAAATGCAATTATGCTCTATGCTTATGAGAACAAATAACATGTTGCGTCACACAGCATATGAAAAAAATTTATCATACCTTGCTGCGATTGTGGAAGCACAGCAGACCGGGGCTCCCGACACTTGGATCTGTAAGCTTCCGCCAATATCTTGTGCATAAGAACTTTGTTATGATTCCCTTCTAGTTCACTTTTCCTCTTCAAAAAAGCTGCCTCAGTCTCCTGAAATTTTGACTCATATCTTCTACAAATCTGAGCTACCATTTCTTGTATTTCCTTCTCACAATCAGATCTGTGCCGCACCTTCTGTTAAAACATTTCTATTATGAAAATACTGATAACATAAAATATACGTAAAACTAAAAAAGTCTTAATCAAATTTGATTTTCCTTCTTAGTTTGAAACTTAAACTCAAACATTAAAAAATAATCTCCCCTTGTTACTTTTTCCTCTTTTCATAATTCATACAATGTTTCTACTCCCAAACATAATCTAAGAAATCGAAGAATTACCCAATCTTCATGGGACTTCACAGCGTGTTCTATTTCTTTGTTTATCCTTTCCAGTTCCTTGGAAAGAGGATTAACCGGAAGACGAGCAGGCAGGTTTATGGGAGACATAAAATGGGGATGATTCGTGTGGGCGTTGGTAGGTCCAGGAACCGAGGCCATATAAGAAGGTTGCATAGTCAATTGGTTATGAAGCTCACTTGATATCCTCACTTCAAGGGGGAGACTAGTAGTGGTGTTCTGAGGAAGGGTGCAGTGTAAATCACTGCTAGAATGGCAGCTGATTCTACTGGCTGCTAAACCTGTCTGACTCTGATGAAGTGTCACGTTAGGAAAATCAACCAATACAGGTGAAGGTTCGGAGGGATGTGAATCATTGGTCTCCCGATTAGGAGATGTCGCACATGCAGCTTCACTGGGAGGTTGATCAGATATATTAGAAAAGCCACCTTGAGGTTGTGGAGGCTCACTATTTTCAGTCGGGGCAGATTCACAATTTGAATGTGCAATTGGTCTTGCATCATCCCCCCTAAGAGATCCAGCTTCAAATTCTAATTGCTGTTCCCGATTGAGTTGTGATTCATCCAATACTAAAAGTTGGCAAGAGTTGTCCTCAGGGACATGATCCTGCACGTCAAGCAAAGAAAATTTCTGAGATACAACAACAACATTACCCTGGTGCTTCAAAAGCTCCCGCCCATTGAAGGGTAAGGGGGGTCGGATGTACGCAGCCTGACCCCAATGTTAAAACATAGAGCAGCCGTTTCCAGATGACCCATGATCAGCGTCGAACGTTGCATTGACTAACTGTTACTCCACTATCAAGACATATACCATTTTAAAAATAATCTTAAACGAATCGCAATTGCCAGATAGACAGATATAAACAATTATGTGCTACATCTAGTGGCAAGCAGACAAATCAAGAAGACATGCCCCTTACATCCAGCACACAACCTAAGGAAAGACTGAGGTACAGAATAATAAGATTCCATATGACAAAGGGGATAACATCGTAAGAAGTCTTCTGCTTGCTTATGCAAAGAAGATGTGTTTCTCTATACCCACAATCAAACCCAAATGAGCAATACTCCTATTTCTGTTTTTTGGAAATGCTAAAAAGCACAACGAAATAAAATTTTAGTTTCCCAAAGTTTTAGTTCCCACGTAAAATTTTAGTTTCCCAAAGTGTGAAAATAAAAAGCTATATGCAAGTGGATCAACAATATTGCTACTGTTGCACAGTCTAAGCCCAATCTACCTACCACACTCAAATATGTCTTACCAAATATGTTTTGGAAAAAAAGTGAACCAAAATGGGACAAAAATAATGAGGCACTTGGACGGTGGAAGTATATTGATAATAAAACATGTATCCCAAAACTAAGCAATGGCCAAAATGCACATACTTGATGTTGTGATAGACAATCATCTGAATAAGCACATGTTTGTACATTGGGCAAGGCCAATAAATTATCTTGGGATGGTGAGTTTCCATCTGCACAATTATTAGCTGCATCATTCTGGTTTCTATCACTATTGGCAGAATCAGTAATATTAGTAGGTGAACAATCTTTCACCAACAATCCTCCTGTGCTAATACGTGATTCATGGACTTCCCGTGTATGGTCAATTATACCATCTTCACCATGCACACGAACTGAAATCTCATCAGCGGCATGCTTTTCAAAAGTCAAGGAGACCACAGGAGCAATCTCCTTCGATGAACGGCCACATATAACACCTTCACTATGCGAACCTACTGAAATCTCAGTATGCTTTAGGAAAGGTATTTGGACTACAGGAGCAGATTCCGTCAATTGACGGCCACCTATGACATCCTCACTGTGTGCACCAACTGAAACCTCATCAATAGTATGCTTTTTAAAAGTCATGGGAACACCAGGAGCAATATCCTCAGATGGATGGTCACCTACAACATTGTCAACAGTTTGGGTTTCGAATGCTAATGGCACCACATGAACAACACCCTCAGATATTTTATCACAGATAATGTTTTCATTAGGTGCACCTACAGAAATTTCAGAAACCGTATGCTTTATGGAAGTCAATGGGACCCCCGGAACACCTTCTTCAGACATATGGTCAGGTATATCAGCTTCACTATGCACATTCTCTGGAATCTCATCAACAGAATTTTCAAAAGAGGATGGAACCACAGGAACAGTATCCTCACAACTGTAACCAACAGTGAACAATTCATTGGGCTGACTAGGACTAGACAAAAATACTTCTGTAGTGGATATAGCCTCTGTGGGCTTCTCAGAAACTGTGGTTGTGAAAACTTCTTTAGATTGGCTCACAATTGATGTAGATGTGTGCACATTAGGAGGTTCCATGTTGTGCTCTGATTCATTCAAAGATTCACTGGGGCCATTTGCCTCTGCATTACACCGAAATGGAGAGCTAACACTTGGAGGATTATCAACATTTGCATAATCTGAAATGTTTTGAATATCATCTCCTTGGGGAACATTAGAAGGATGATTAATGCTATTGATAGCTGTATTATCTTCAAGGTTGCCAATACCACAAGCAGTAGCATCTTTATTGGCATGTAAACTATCAACATTTGCATTATCTGGAATGTTTCGAATATCATCTCCGGGGGAAACATTTGAAGGATGATTAATGCCATTGATAGATGTATTATCTTCAAGGTTGCCAATAATACACACAGTAGCATCGTCATTGGCATGTAAACTATCAACCTTTGCATTATCTGGAATGTTCTGAATATCATCTATGGGGGAAACATTTGAAAGACAATTAATGCTATTGATAGATGTATAATCTTCAAGGTTGCCAATACCACAAGCAGTAGCATCTTTATTGGCATGTAAACTATCAACATTTGAATTATCTGGAGCAGTTCTGATATCATCTCTGGGGGAAACATTTGAAGGATGATTAATGCTATTGATAGATGTATTATCTTCAAGGTTGCCAATACCACAAGCAGTGGCATCTTTATTGGCATGTATATTAACTACATTTGCATTATCTGGAATGATTTTAATATCATCTCTGGGGGGGATATTTAAAGGATGATTAACGCTATCAATAGATATATTATCTTCAAGGTCGTCGATACCACAACCAGTAGCATCTTTATTGGCATGTATAGTATCTTGAAGATTTGCAACATCATCACAGGAATCAGATGTCTTTCTGGCACCTGCAACATCTTGAAGGTTCCCAGCACCTTCCCCGGAATGAAAAACAGTACCGTTGACGGATAAACTATCTTGAAGTCTTCTTGTGTCATCGCGTGAATAAGAATTGTGATCATCAGCCTTCGGGTCTCCAACATCATCTCTGGAATCAGATGTGCACGAGTGCAGCTCAGTTGCAACCCCATCGACACAGCATAATTTAGCATTAGCGATCCAAGAAGCAGCCTTTTGCATTTCCATGTTCCTTTCAGTTTCATGATTCTCTTCAATTTCTTTGATTTTCATGTCCTTAAAGCGGTTGAGTTCCGCTATTTCTCGTGCAAAATTATCATTTAGTTGCTTCAACTTGTTCTTTCCCATAATAGTATTGCAATGTATGGCGTGATTAATGACTAACTGCACACTGTGGAGTTTTTCTATAGAAATCCTCTTGCGCTCGCACTCTATCTGGAAGTGCTCAATTTCTTCATGTTGCTTTTCTTTGAGCCTTGACATCCTCATGTCACACTTGCATTGAACTTGCCTGACCATCTTATCCATTTCACTCTCAACAACATTATCTCTTACATCTGTGGTCTGCTGTGCAACAAAATTTTTGTTGGTGCATATCTCCTCTTCAATAATTTCAGTCCCTGCATTTTCCATCCTTTTTGGCTGCTTTAAGTCATATCCAATCTTTTCCAAGTGACGCAAAAATGCTTCTGTCTTTGAACGCAATCTCCTATAAACGTCTTTTGATTCGTGCTTAGTGCATTCAAATTCAAGATGTTCTTTCGTTAACAAAAGTATAGTGTTAACATCAATCTTTTGCCCCAAGATTCTGGCAGCCATCTTACACTGAAAACCACAGCAATCAAGTTAGCATAGGTATAACTTCATATTAAAATAGGTTCAACGTTGCACACAGAAGTGTCAGATCACAAGTAAATATATACAAAAGTATGAAACTGAAATCCTCCGGAAAGGCTAATTCATGCCATGGACAAAACAATGAACACGTAAACAGCTATCTTTCATGAGAGATGCATTAAAGTTAATGATTACAGTAGTTAGCAACAAACAACAATTTCAGACAACTAAACTGGATCACAAAATTAATGAAAGAAAATTCTAGGGAACCCACCAATCATAAACATGTTGAGTATTTACAGAACGTGAACTCCAACGGGTGGCCTTTAGCAAGCCACCACCAGCTATATAGCATAGACGATTAGACGCATCACGCATAGTAATAATGGATGAAGCAAGAACAAGAAAGAAATGACTATTATAATTAGTTTGTTGTATTGATTGTAATTAGAATATAATCTGATTCATACAAGGATGATGAGCCAGTCACACATGATAATGTAAAAATATAAACAAAAAAACATGAGCCTACTTATAACTTCTTATGGCTGAGCTAGCGTTTACTCGCGAAGGCACTCTAATCCCCTAGTATTTCAACAGTCCATTCAAGCTAAATGTTAAAGAATTCAAAGCCTGAATGAACACTCTGCGTTTCCACCACACCCATAGCTATAGAATAGAACAATGGACATATAAGACACGTTTAGAGAGTAAGAGTGCCGGATGTCTTCACAAAACACAATTTAAACACAGTCCTTTCTCTAGAAATTTTCCAAACACACAGGACAACTTTGTAAAGCCCATTTATAGTACTGTGTTGTGTGTGCACGCGTGCGTGCACGCACATATGTGTGTGTGTGGGTGGGTGTATGCGCATGTGCTCACTGTGTTGTTATAATGTAATACATAAAAAACATCCATTTTAAACATAAAATAGTAAAATAAAGGATGCAAAGAGATTAACCAGAGATACTTGCAATGCCTGTGAGAGAGTTGCTGATTCTATGCAAACACGAAGATTCTCCATAATATAATCTATGAATATTCCAACCATATTTTTGACATCATCCTGCATCAAATAATATGATCATATAAATGGCAATAGAAGAAATCATAATAGAAACTGAACCCACAGAAAAAGATTTAATCCATTTAAGACTTTACATCACATTTGAATTGTAACCACAAAGGCATTTACCATTGTGAATGCTAACACTTAATTTATTTAAGGAAACAATCACAGTAGACCTGAAGACACATGATTTCCAAGTTCCAACACAACAGAGGAAAAGTAAAATACAAAAAGCTGGTCTCAAGGGTTTCAATCATAAATTAAACCAAGACCCAAAAACCATCAGCAGTTGCACTGCTCATTTTATGATGCCAAAAAAATTTGGAATATTTCAATACAAAAGGTCATATGAGTTCCACAGGGAAAATGTGAATGCCAAAACTTTCAATAAATAACATAAGATTATTTTCCAACATAAAGTGAACTCCTACGCAGCTTAAAGGAAATTGAAGGCAAGACAGTTACCGAGAGTTTTAACACTTCAATAACTTTGGCAATCTCTGCTTTTAAAGAGACTTGAAGGTTCTTTTGGTCATCACGTAGAGCTTTTCTTTCCACAGATCCAACATCAACATGTGATGGGCTGCATAGAGACCTCGTGCCATGGTCCTGATCATGAGCACCATTTTGACAGGGAGTTGATTTTGGCAATGACTGATTAGCAGTTCCAGTTGTAGAAGGTCCTGTAATAAAAAAGAAACCATTGAATGTAAACCTTGCATGAGGAACAACCTCACAGATCTCAACTTGTTACATGGATTTGAGTGAAAGGTTTTGCACTAAAAGTGATATCTGTTGTACCAAAAGTTATAAGTATACACTAAGGGTGATAACATTTACACCAAAAGAATTTATACTTAACACCAAGTGTTATGGATTTGCAATAAAAGAGATTTTTCTTTCGGCTTGGGAGAAACACTATCAGGAGGGGCTAATTCAAAACCCTTACCCAAAATAAGAACCGCCACCCACATTCAATCCACCATTTTACTCAAAAAGTGATATGATTTACACCTCAACAAGAGATAGCCTCATACAAGTTTTTTGCCAACCATTATCGCAATAGCTTTCACTTCTACAATTTTTTTCCAAACAGTGCATAGCAGAAGGACAAATACAAACTGGATTATCAACACAAGTTTATTCACCTTTCTTTGAATCAGCAAGTTGGCCACCTTCAGGTACAGGTAAATTGGAGAAAACATCCACATCACTGTTCACAACCTTCCTGCGCTTCTTTCCTGCTTCATCATTACTAACGTCTGGAGTACATGGAGAGTCATGAAAGTATTTGACTCTCTTTCGGTTCCTTGGAGTTGGCCCACTTATATGTCTCCATCGTGGAGACTTTCCTTCTAACAACCCTTTCCAAAACAACTGTGGCTCTTCTCCACATGTATATTTCACACTCTGCTCTCCAAATAATGGAGGCTTTGTAGTGCAAGGTCCAGAACTTTGAAGAACTTTAGAAATAATTGGAATGTGCATAGCATCCATTTCATTGTCTGGAGAAATTATGGAACAGAATTCCTTAACAACATCATTCAAAAATGACTCTCCATATGAAATATCTGAATCTGATGCCTGGCAGTCACTGGCATGGTACTCATCCAATCGGCTGAATAAATGTGAAGCACCCCACATGAGAGTGCTCTTTGTATTCCTGTGTAAACTCTGAATGTTATCAACAGGATCTTGCTTTGCAATCACAAGTGCTTGCTCTTCCACCGTATAACACGAATATAGCCGGAAAACTCTAATCGGTTTAGACTGTGGCATAAATGATAGCTTTTGTATAAGCTTCAAATCATTTTGAGGATTAGAATCACTACCATATATGATGACATTGTCCACTGATGATAATCTAATGCTTGAGTTACACATACGGTGCTCCAATAGAAGTACAAATAGCCCATTTTCCTTCTTCATGAACCTATTGAGAGCTGCTTGCCTCTTAGAAAGATGGAGACAAGAGTGTACACATTCATAAGAATCTACCCCAAACCTTCCTTGCAAAAAATGCTCCAATATACTAACAAGTGATGATCCAGTGCCAATAGAATCCTAAAAATGGAAACAATTTTTTAAGGATTTAAAAGGGCCAAATTTTAAAAATCAAACATGATGATTAACCTGCAGATCATGGTTGCACTAGAGATGCATGGATGCACACACATAATAAGTGCAACTTCATTGGGCATAAAATTATACAAAAATTACATGGGGGAAAGAGGGTGGGAGGCAGTCTGTAAGAGGGAACAACAAATGAGGGCGAGAGAGAGAGAGAGAGAGTGTGTGTGTGTGTGCGTGTTGTGTGAAAACATAAAACTATAGTAATATTATTTAATGTAAGTTAGTTGTCAACAAAATAATAATAATGACGCTAACTCTATCAAGAACACCCATCGAAGCCATATTCTGTTATTACCAAAGAATAAAGATATACCCATCTGATAGATCACTAACAAGGCTAGCCTCCACCCCTACATTCTTTGAATCCGCATAGTATAACAACAAACCTAGTAAAATCACACAGCATCGAGTCTGGGAAGGGCCAGTGTACAGAAATATTTCCCCTGCTTCGAGGTTGTTTCCAAGAGACCTCCGGCTCAAAATAAAATAAATGCTAAAAACAAGGAGATAAAAGACCTGAAAGCAAACTAATGTAAACTCATCTCTATTTAGAAGTGATCTGAATCACATTGAAACGACCACCTCACCAGGGTCCACACACCGTCATATGTGCTCTTAACTCAGATGCAGCAACTCTCTAAACTCTAGGCACCTCCATCAGCTTCCTCAAGAGGTGAATGGCCTTTGTGGTTGACTAACCAAACATGAAACCAAATTGATTCTCAGAAATGCACACCTCCCTTCTCAACTTTATTTCTGTTATTCGTTCCAAACTTTCATGGTGTGACTAAGTAATTTGATCATAGTTGAATACCTAGGTAACAATTAAGCGACTAGCCAAATGATAAAATATACTCCCTCCGTCCCAAATTGGATTACAATTTTTTTAGGTCCTACCTCTCGATAACTTTTGTTTATTTGTGTACTTTTATTGATTATTTGATAAAATATACTCCCTCCGTCCCCTTGTATTTGTCCACTTTCATTTTTACACACCATCCAATGCACTTCTTTAATCCATTTTATCTTGTAATTTGTATATTAAAAAATTATGAAAATTATATATTAATAATCTATATGTTAAGACAAATCAAACAAGATCACACATGACTATATTTAGGCTTACATATTGAGAGAATTTGATGAGTCAAAGTACTTAGATGAACAGTTCCAAAAGTCAAATGTGGACAAATACAGGGGGACGGAGGGAGTATTATTCTTGTCACCTCTTGTATTGTAGAAATTTTGACATAGTTTTTTGATATGTAAATTTATTAATTATTCTTATACCAATTCTTAAATAAATTGATTTTTAAAAATGCGGGTTTTGGGACGGAGGGAGTAGTAACAGTAACATAAATATATCATAATTAATATACCTGGGTATAAGATATTATTATTCATAAATTACAAACTTCATACTCAACATACCTAATATCCATCTGAAACAAAATAATGTACAATGTTTCTTATGAAGCTAGATCTAGACCCCTTTTTGAGAGAACCAATTGTAATACTCCCGTTGTCCCACTACTTTTGGGGCATGAGAGAGTGACACGAAGATAAAGAAAAATAAGAATGTGGTTGACATTGATGTTAAAAAGTAATAAGAAAAATAAAGTAAGAATGAATGTGAATTGACCAAATATCGTATGGGACAAAATAATGGGGAAGAATAGGATAGAGTTAGGCTGGGTAGTATAGGCAAGAACTATATAGAAATTTAAACAAAGCTAAACAAAATCTAGGCACAAGACAATTGACTTCTAGGTTACACAAAAATTAGAATAACAAACAGTAGAAAAATGGAAAAATGAATAAAAGGACAAAGAGAAGAGAGTCAAAATAAACAAGATATGGCCATATGGGTATCAGGCACTTGACTTACACGTTACAAAAATATTTTTAAAAAAAAGGAAAAATAAAAAGAATTAAGATAAAAAAAGAAGAGAGCAAACAACATGTAGGGAACTTCGTTGTGTTGTGTCGCTGTCTCTAGTTGATAACTCATAGGAAGATGTCTATCAACGTGGAGTCGTGGACACTTATATTGTTCAGGGTTAGTAATGTCTATTGGTCCTCATAGATTAATCACACTTTGCCGACACTTCGACATTCCATAATTGTGTCTACTCGTGTAATCGCAACTATAAGTTAAAAAAAGACTAGAAAAAACATTGACCTAAGGTCAAATGCCTATGACAATGGTAATGGATGCCTAGTCAATGCCATGAAAGGGTACGATGAGGCGAACATACATGGTGAGCATCATCCATTGTTAGACGCCTAGCCGAATAACTATTGGTGTTCTGGATATCACCCTGTCCGTACAACAGAATCACCACTCTTCCTCCACTCGACAGTCATCTTAGTTATCTTGAAAATAACACCCAACAACTTGGTGATCCACACAAAGTCATTTATGCCCACAATAGTCCAAAACTCCACCAAGGTTGTATCTGATCTCAAAGCTCTTCCCCTTTTCACCTCTAAATGTCTAATGCGCAGATAGAAGTCCCTATATAGACGTTCTAAAGGTGCAATCATTACCGCAAAAACCACCAACTTAATTTTTAAACAATCTTATACTCTATCTTCCTCACTTCTACTATTCATGAATCTTTTAAAGGGCGCTTTAATAGCTTCAACTTTTCCTTAAAACTTTACTATTCCACCATCAGTCCAATATTAGTTTCCATTACTCCCAACAACTCCTAACACTTCCCGGACAGGTTCTTTGATATAGTTACTTAGTTAGCAATCTTAATTCATATGACATCAGCAACCCTACTAGTCCGCCATGTGCCTTTCTTTTGTACCCTAGGAACCAACTCCGTAACCCCATACTTGTAGTATAGTATATTAGAATACAATACTCCTGTGTCCTGTCCACAAATTTTATTCCCAATTTTCTTTCTAGGCTGCCCACAAATTTTTTGCCCAGTTCTTTTTTTTTTGGCAACAAATTTTGGATTCAATGACATAATTACCCTTACAACCAATTATCACCCATGAACCTTATCCTCCATGTCGCTGCCTCATTCCACAAACCGGCAGCCTCATTCAACATTTCAACCCTACATCTCCGGCGTCGGGTCACCACTGGATATCGATAAAGATGTATCCATAAAGATGAATCCGATGGAGTCACTTCGCGTTTGGAGTCAGCCATCTCCAATCCTCATTGTCACTGTTAGATCTGTAAACGTCGAGTTCTTGATCTTCATTGATCATCTCTATTTTCCTTGTTTTCTTCATCGTCGGAGCTTCAATCTCCAGATTTCCATTGTGGATGGAGTCACTTTACCCTCGTCTTCATTGTCGAAGCTTCGATCTCCAGATTTCTTTCACAGATATAGTCACTTCGGCTCACTTCGGCCACATCTTCATTACCGGAGCTTTCATCTCCAGATTTCCTTCGCAGATAGTGTCACTTTGCCTTTATCTTCATCACCTGAGCTTCAAACTCCAGATTTACTAGCATGAAAAAGAGGTTCTTCTCTAGTGGCGGGGTGGTTCAAACAGGAGATCCACTCCAGATTTGATGAAATTGAGAATGGCAGTCAGTGGTTAAAATGGAAGAGGCCAGTGTAGAAATGGGTATTTTAGGAAAGTCGGCACACATTTAAACTTTTTTAATGTGTGTGCCTGATCAAACCGGGAAGTAAATTTATGGACGGAGGGAGTAAGTAATAACAACAAGAAAATCTCAAATCAATAAGGTTGGCCACATGAACCAGATGAACTACCAAGGGTAATTAGGCTGTCCTAAATTTCCACACCTTTCTATCATGTACCAAGTGTTTATCATGCTCAATCCCTCAGGATCATGATGACAATGCTCAAAATTGCTTATTGCAGTTTTGGAGCGGTTTTATTCCTCAAGGCGTGTTGAGGCGTACTAGAACATGGCGAAAAGATGTCCATATAAGTGGTAGAGACTACTAGAACATGGCGAAAAGATGAAGAATACTCCATAGTATTAAAAAAGGGCGGCGATACAAGCCGTAAAATAAACACTGGCAGATAAGCAATAAGCAAAAAATAAAAAATAATTAATTAGTTAATGATATATGGAATTAAGAAAAACACTACAATGATATACGAAGAGCCTTATCAAAAGGCAGAGCCTAATCAAAATGCAGGCTTGCACCCAAAGTTACCAAAACGCAAAAAAGTAGACAAAAAAGAGAGATATATACGATGATGGTAGAAGATGACTCACCTGATGAAGACAATGACGATTGACAAGTATGGAAGATGACGATACTAAAATTAGGTATATAAGATATGACTGAATCAGGTATATATGTTTAAATTTTGTTAATTGACTGATTTAACCTTAATCTAAACAAATGGGAACAAATATTGCTTACGCCTCAAATCCCACCCCAGTGTGTAAGCTTTATTGCGTGCGCAATCTTGCGCAATCGATAGAAACACATATAGCGTATGGAAAGATACGCCTTATTGCCTAATTTGTTGGAAAAGTTTCAGAGGCGCGCCTCATGACGGGTTTCTGCCTCGCCATTTAGAACATTGGATCATGAACCTAACTTGTCTCTCTTAGTTTGAAACTTAAACATCACGTTAGTCCTTAATAATATAAAGTACACATTGGATGGTACATCAATGAAATGTTGTTTTACTTATTGTAGTGGGTTGAATGGGTGGTAACTGAAAATGAATAGACACATACTTGTGTTTGGCTCAATGGCATTTGAGGGCCCTTTTGCCCAACCAAATTGATGCCTGATTATCTTACTTGCCTCAAGTAGATCAGTCTAATATGCATGTTCCATTGAAGAAATTTGCTCAATCAAATATTTACATTTCAATAATGAAAACCAAGAAATGTTTCTATTTCATTAACTAACTCCCTCAAAAACAACTTGTTGTCCACGGCCCAATACCAATTCAATCCCTCTTCATTTTTGTGTCCAAACACCCCTTTGTCTAGAGAATTTAGTATTTTATATCAAAAGCAAACAAAATGTTCCCTCTCATGTATATATATAGCAAAAAACAGTGAAAAACTTGGCATAGGCAAGGCTAAAAGACACAACACTTTTCAAGTTCCTAGCAAAAAAAAGTTTTCATCTTGCATTATAAATATTTTTTGAATGGAACCAAACCCACATTGCGCAAGAAATTGAGAGCTTTGAGAGAGGGTGTAGTAGACAGTTTTAAGGGACTAGCATGAAGAGTTACTGTTTTAGCAGAAAGAATTACCTGAAAATAGATAACTACATTAAGATGTCTGTGTTTTATTTCTGAAAGCATCTTGTCAAGAAGAAGCAACTTCCCACTTGCTTTTATTCCAAATTCGAAAATCTCTTCAGGAGAAAGGCCCTTGTTGAGGGTGAGGGTTAGCACAGATCCATCAAAGCTATAGGGATGATCACAACACTGAGGAAACCACAAACGAACACAAGAATATTAAATTGAAGTTGTAAACAACATCCCAGCTTGCATAGGATAAATTTGCAGCTTATCTTGTAATCACTTGAGATAATTTTTACCATGTTAGAAGTTAGAACTAGCAAAAAATATATGAAGTTTAAAAATTTGTTCAGCATTGTTATTACTATTTCAATGAGCTATAAGGTGAGAGAGGAATTTAAAATTACAATTTTGAAAAATAAAATAAAATGACAAACCCCTTGCGAACATTTTTTTCAAAATTAACTTCCAATTTCTTCCAAAATTTTGTAAAAAATAACTTCCAATTTCTTCCAACTCCTTCCAGTTTCTTCCAACAACTTAAAAACATAACACCTCAAATACGAACAAAGATAAATTCTTTTTTATATTCAAAATTAGTTCTCTTACATATTTATTTGGGTGATCATTTAATTGAGCGATTTTTTTAACACTTCATTTTTTTCAACATTTTCCAACTCCTTCCAAGTTCCAATTTCTTCCAACTCCTTCCAGTGTCATCCAATTCCATCCAGTTTCTTCCAACTTTAGAATTCCAACCAAAAAGAACAAAGCCTAAGTCTTTATTCATGTGGCTGATAAGGGTTATTAATTTGGATGCACAACAGAGTTGACCAGGTCATTAGTTTCCCTTGAAACGACTTTTATGAACATTTTTCCAAAATTCAAGCTTTTCCTTGTTAAGTATCAAAAGGGTTAGTACACACTCATGCAAATATGAAAAATGTACAACTTCACTACTCCATGAATCCACAAAGATAAACTGACATAGCAAAATTATTGAACAAATAACAAAATTTCAAAAAAAAAAAAATCACATGCTCAAAAAAGTGTTAGACCAAACCTTTCTAACATTGAGTAGAACATCATTGAGCACCCCAACAAGATCATTTTTTTTCGATGAAGAACACAGGGCATTTATATTTGAGTATAGTGCATGACAATACTGCTCAAGCTGCAAGTTGGAAACTTGAACAGGAAGCCAATACTCATGAAACTTGGAAGATTCCAGTCCATTTTGATAGGCATTATGTTTCAAGAGCATCTCACTTGGTTTTCCTTGACAACTCTCATACTCCTTAATGAGCCTTAGACCAAGAGATGAACAAAGAAAATCAGCATTCTCCAACTCCCATGTGGCATTCTCAATATCAAGGCCATTCCACTTCACAAGCCACTCGTGTTTGCATTCTAAATCATTGTCAACATCAAGATTTTTGTTTTTCCCATGCAGCTTGGAGAAAGATAATAACCTTTTCTTCAGTAAACATTGAGGTATTGTCCATTCCGAGTTCCAACTGACACCCTAAATGATTGAAAAATAAGTGCCAATAGTTAGGGTATCCAACAATTTAACGTACAGGTTTTTGTGTTCCAAAGAAATTACTCTATCATTCCAATTTACAAGTCTCAATTGCTTTTGCACAAATATTTAAGAAATAAGTAGTATATAGTATGTGATCAAATTTTCAATTTTACTCTCTAAAAGGCTGTAACCTTAATAAAAGTTGGCATTTATATTAATATGTCAAATCATGAGAGGAAGAATTGGAAAACATATAATGCTTACGGATTTAAAAATGAAAGTTGAGAACATAATTGTGGGACTGACTAAATAGCAAGCGGGGTTTATGAAATGAGGATAATAATGTGAACAAAAATGGAACTGACATGATTTTTTTGATTAAAGTCTGCAATAATGGATGGCACTTCAATAAGCAATGGTTCTTCTGGAAGCCAGTCATTGTGAACATGGGCAAGACCTTGATACTTGACAAGATATTGTTTCTGCCTTTGTGTTCCTAACATAATGTTAAAGAAGACATGAACAAAATCTCAGCTATTAGGAGAAAATAATAAGCATTAAAAGTCAATTTACATATCTTTGTTTCCAAAAAAAAATAGTTTAATGACACAGGTATGTCAAACCTGTGGGACCTAATACTTCCACTTCTCTAGCATCACATATCAACTCTATTCCCTTTGACACTGAGTGGACACCATATTCTATCTTTTTCTTCACACACCAGAGACAATGCCAGACTCCAGATGGAACACCATCCAAAGGAGGACCTAAACAAGAGAGATGGTAACATCTCCTGCAACCTTTACCATAACATATCCTGAAAAGTAGACCAATGCACACTTTAACAAAGGTGGGTACACAAATATGCAATAGTAAGAAAAAAAGGAAGTCCTATTTTTTAATCCTACATTTCATCAACAGTTTTTACTCTAAGTGTTTAAATGATTCAAGTCAGTGGAACTAGACACCTATGAATCTACCATGCCATTGTTAACCCATGAAAACTAGTCTTACTGAACACAAGAGATTACCCACAGGCTTTTTCCATCTTGCTTGCACAAATCACAAATGTTTTCATGATTATCCTCGTGAGAACTTATGTTTGCACCTTTGCACCCTGCTTCAACACCCATTTTATCCTATACAATGCATCAATAATAAAAGCATCAATAAGTTGATTTCATGCTAAGAATCTCAAAGATTTATTATAACCTGTCATGAAATTATGAAACATATTAAAATAACAACTATAGAAGAAACTAGACTACCAAGTAATCTCCACCTACAAATCGAAAAAATGAACTACAGTGCTCTATTAACAAAACCAAATCGTTTCCGCTGCATAAAAAACAATGCATTAATCTTTTGAGAAATAAACAGATGTGTAGCACTTTCACATTTTTCTTTTTGATATCTTCTCGAATTGCACACATCAGATGGCACCATAAACCAACCTTACAAAAAGTTTCATTACCAGCATCCTTCTTCGAAACAACACCACACGTGCAGAGCTCAACATTTGGGAAATCATGATCAAGCCTGCAAGTCGAAAACAAATTGAGAGATAAAACAAGCCATCTTTAAAGTCTAGCAGCAAAATCAGGTAATTATAATAATACACATAAGCAATAACATACGTAAGTGAATACAAAAATCAAATCACAAAAGCAGACACGATGAGGGAAAAAATGTTTCCCACTATACATACGCCTCTTTCATTTCTCCTCATTCTAAAATTCCATGCTCGATCTAGTCAATTTTTATTGTCTAAACTATGGTTGATGGATTGAGTGTTAAGTGTTCAGTATATCAGTGGTTATTTATCAGACATAATAAAAATTACCTTTTTTGTTTCAAACATGCACCACAGGACCCAGGAAAGCAATGCTTTTCATCGCTGGCTAATTTAAACATAGATTGGCTATCATCTAATTTTTGTTTTTTACTATGCTCTCCACTTTGTGAATTCAATTCACTGAAAGAAGTAAATCTTCTCAAATCTCGAATCTTCTCAGTGTCTCTACCAGAGCATCCCTCAAGCAGTATTTCAGTCCCATCCAAGGTGTCACTGATTGTGCAACCATTCGCTGAAGCTTTTAAGCTATCTGCTTCGGATAGACCAGCAATCTGTCCTTGTGCCGAAGTATAAATATCCTTCGATTGTGGCAATTCTGCCTCGTCGTGACTATGTAAAGTTCCCATAGTAAACCCCTCTGAACTAGAGAGGGAAACAACTTCATCACATTGTACAGAATGGTATTCACCAAATTGTTTTGCAACGCCTTGGTGGCATTCAACATCCCCGTCCACTTTGTCCCCAACAAGCATGTTGCCACTGCCAAGTCCTGGAAATTTACTTGATCTTTTTGACTCCTCGTAAATGGCTACTTCAAAACACAGAATTTTTCATCACATTAAAACAATCCATTGTTTTCATACAACAAGGAGCAGCTACGCAATCTATAGAGAGTATATTTTTTTATCTTTAAGGTCTAAAAAAAGGTATTTAATCTAAAAGGTCTAAAATTTGAACTGAGAATAAATTAATATCAGCGGCTCCAAACCCACAAAAAAAAATTGAGTCCACAAAGATTGGAGGAGAGGGTTAGCAAGAGAAAGGCTTGTATATACCTGGTATTAGCTGTCTTATTCGTTGTTGTTTAAACAATGAACGAAAAGCACGGGCATCCATTCTCTTCCTTTTCATAGACATATTATACTTACTAATGTTGCCATCTTTCTCAGAGCTCATTGTAATAGGCTGCTTCACACTCTGCTCTTTTTCCCCATTTTTCTTTGTGATAACTAAATTCAAGTCTCCCTCTGCGAGTTTTGACCCTGAAGAACTGGATATAATATGTCTTTTATCCCTACCAGGGGTCCTTGAAGGACTAGGTGTGTCAGGTCTCTGAGACCTCCTCTGAGAGTGCAGTGTAGGGGGAGGCTTCTTCTCAAGTAGCTTAGACTGCCTAGTCCTTGATGGCATTTCCTGAGAAGACCTTGTTATGCCAATGCGATCTGTATTTCTAGTTCCAATACATGATGGTCCTTTCAAATTTTTACCCGTATTGACAATATTTTTTCCCATTATGTTTCTCATGAACCATTCGAATGGCTGTAAATTAAAGAAAACGGTCCAAAGTTCTCAAGACAGAGAAGATAATGGACCAGCTTCAAGTTACAACAACTACCTACATGATCACAACCAGACATGCATGTTATGTAAGTATTGAGTGTTGCAATAAGGGTATATGAGGATTATAATTTAGCATTGGGACTTTATAATACACGTGATAAAATGACACAATCTATAGCTAAAATTAACCTCCTGCATAAGATACTGATAATTACAGCAGGATAAGCACAATAGTCCCCGCGCTTCAACTGGGTTATCAACAGAACATTGTTACTAACCTAACCAATTAATTATGCAAATTCCAAAAAAAACATATTTTTGGATATTTCAAAAAATCAAGTGCAAAAAAAAATGTCACAGTCTGTCAAGTATCAACCCATCTGCTTTTAGGTTCATTCGTCTTTCATCTATTAGAGGCTTTTCTAATATGCTAGCTCATATTCTTGCTAGAAACTCGGTGTCGTGATGCTTGGGATAATATTCCCCCTGATTGTATTCACCATCTTTTGATAATTAATGTAAGTATTCCTTTGGATTTCAAAAAAAAAAAGTCCCATAGAAATGGAATGCGCCTGATGAAGCAATTCTCGCCTACATACTTCTAAAAGCTTACTATTCCAGAGAAGAAATAAGAGAAACACTTGGCGGGTATAGAGATTGCGACACTAGAGTAAGTCGCCGGAGGTCGGGGATTAGACGCAGGTAGACTCTGCATTTATTAACATCAACCTTCAGTGATTGCAGCAACATCGTTGAACCATAGTGGAAGAAGGGATTACCTCTTGAGTTCAAATTGAAAAACCCTTTCTGTTCTGGTCAGAACCAGATTCCGGCCGGAAGAACTCCCAGATATTCCTGGAAACAAACGAGTGTCTTCTTGAAATCAGCAAACCCTAATCTCGCCGAGAGGATTTAATTGCAAATCAGTGGCAGTGCAGAAGTAAATATTCAGGAGAGTCCTAGAGTTTGGCGGCTACAGTTTGGAATCCGAAAGCCGGATATGGGTGAAAGAGGCGGTGAGATTTGTTAATCTCCGGTAAGCATGGGCTTTTGGATTTGCGACTGCTTTTATGGAAGTTAAGCAACAAGAGATAGTAATTTATTTTTTTCATATCGCTATTTATTTTTATTAAAATCTCATTTCAGATCTAATCAAATTAAATTAGATTATGTCACATAAAAAAGATTTTTATATATAATTAATTCTTATTCAATCATATCACGTCTAATTAGATTAGATCGTATTTTATCAGGTCTTCAAAAAATCAGATTAAATCGAACAAACGGAACGCAACCTAGTAAGAGTCATTTTGTTCAATTTATAACATATACATATTAATATTAAATTAGATTAGATCTAGTTAGATCAGATCAGATCTCATCAAATTAGATTTATTAATATTAAATTAGATTAGATCTAGTTAGATCAGATCAGATCTCATCAAATTAGATTTAATAAAATCAAATTTCTTAGGTCCAAATCAGATTAGGTGAACGGAATAGAGTCTTAGGCACTTATGCTCCAATTTCTTTGTTTTTTCCTTAGGCCAAAAACTCCTAATTTTTCATAAGTTTACCACTCCCCAACCCTCACCTAAAAGTAGTGTTGTAAATGAATTTTTGGTGTGTTTGGAGACTTGGATTTAGATTATAATTTCAGATTTGGTTCAAATTCTATATTTGGAAAAAAATATAAAAAAATTGAATTTGGATTTTAGATAAATTTCTCTCATTCATAACTAAACTAAATTTGAAATACATACATCTTACATTGTAATTCGAAATTCAAGAATTTAAATTTTGGAATTGAAATGCATGAATTAAAATAAATTGCTAAATTCAAAACTATTAGGAATAATAGATGTATTAGGAAAATGAAATATTACTTCGTATTATTTATTCCATTACTTATTTTATTAAATTGCTTGCTTATTGTATTATTATTATAGTTCTTTTCTTACCAGGATTGGAACTCTCTCTTGTAATCTCTATATATATCAATGTATCATTCATTATTTGATAAGATCAATTATTATCAAATTGTATCATGATATCGGAGCTAGAGTTTTCAAAAAAACTAACCTTTCATTTTTTGACCAAGCACATCGACAGTCTCCGTTCACGGTGGTCGATCATCCGATAGCATAGTGTCACCGACCGATCTCGACGAGCGTGTCTAACAGCAGATGTCCATTATCCCTCTCTTTCTCTCAAACAAATCTTCTCTCTCTCTCTTCCAAAAAAAATCATGTGCATGGTCGAAGAACAGAAAAGTAGCATTTGTGTGTATTTTTATAGAGATCGAGAGTGTGAAAAGTGTAGAGAAGCTAGAAAATGGTCCAAAAGGACAAAAAAATGAACACTTCGCCCTTGCTCTAATCATAAACAATCTCTCTAGAGAAAAACCCTAGAAAACGTAATCTCAAGCTCGTTCGTCATGCAACATAGATCGATTCTCTACTTCTGGAGGCTATCATCACAAAATTGCTTTCGTCAGCTCAATTTCAATACATGTGCTCCAAGCTACTCCTCGTTACAGATGATCAGCTTGCAGGGATAATATGAATAAGAGATATATTAGGAAATAAAATACTATTATTTATTACATTCCTTATTTTATTGTTACGTTATTTTATTGTTACTATACATCTTCACCTAGTGTGATTACAACACTCTCTTGTAATCCATACATACATACATACATACATACATACATACATACATACATACTATACATACATACATACATACATACATACATACATACATACATACATACATATATATATATATATATATATATATATATATATATATATAGTATGTGTGTGTGTTGCATCACATGCCCTACCTAAAAAATGGTTTGATTCGTGATTCATATTCATTTGTACTGCTTAATTCGTAATCAAAAAAATTAAATCTAAATACAAATAATATTTGTTATTCGTTGCATTAACAAATACAAATATGGCTATATCAATATTTGATTCGGTCCTTAAATGAGTATGTTTGGAAAAATGGGCCAAAATTGTAAATATTTAAAAATTAGTACATAATTTACTAATTACTTAACAATTAAATGTATGTTTACATTTTCATCTTTGATATATAAATTATCCATGCCAAATATTTTTGGAAAAGATATTTTAATATAAATCACATTTTTTAAATTAATACTGTAAATTAAATGTTTATAAGATATTGTATTTGAGGGTGTTTATAAAATACTCCTCTATTCATTTTTAATTGCTTAAATTGTTTTGCGTGTCAAACATTTGACTATATATATATATATATATATGTATGTATGTATGTATGTATGTATGTATGTATATATATATATATATATATATATATATATATATATATAGGGATTGACTCCAGTGAGATGACACCTTATGGTAAGATGACATGCTTCAATGAGATGACAAAACACTGCCAATGGAAAGCTCACCAACTGCCAATGCAAAGCTCACCAACTACCAATGCAAAGCTCACCAACTGTCAATGCAAAGCTCATCACTTTTTTTAAATAAAAAAGGTTAAAAAAATAACACCACCACTCAACCACCGCTCAATCACCGCTCAACCACCGGTCCACGGCAATAGTGGGGGTCATCGGTGGTGGCCATTGGTCATGGGCGGTCAAAGTGTAAAGCTCACCAACTATCAATGCAAAGCTCACCAACTGTCAATGGAAAGCTCACCAAGGAACAATGCAAAGCTCACCACTTTTTTAAAAAAAAAGCTGATAAAGCAAAGCTCACCACATTACACTACAAAGCTCACCAATGGACAATGCAAAGCTCACCTGGAAATAAAGCAAAGCTCACCACTTTGAACCCCAAAACTCACCTTTTTTTTAAAATTTTAAAAATTAAAAAATTAATTTAAAATAAAATAACAACACCGGTCAACCACCGGTCAAGGGCGGCGGAGCAGCAGTGGCGGCCGGAGTCCGGCGACGGCGGCGGCGGCGGCGGTAGGCGGCGGTAAATGCTGGCAGTCAACAGTCAAAGTCCAGTCAGCACCCTTTCCTTTGATTTTTTTTTTTGGAAAAAAATTCAAAGTGTTGAAAAAATATAGTGAGCTTTGCCTTACACTTTGGTGAGCTTTATAGTTGTCTTTGGTGAGCTTTGCAGTGACCAGTGGTGAGCTTTGTGTCATCTGACCGAAGCATGTCATCTCACCGTAAGGTGTCATCTCACTGGAGTCAATCCCACATATATATATATATATATATATATATATATATATATATATATATATATGGGATTGACTCCAGTGAGATGACACCTTATGGTAAGATGACATGCTTCAATGAGATGACACAACACACAACACTGCCAATGAAAAGCGCACCAACTGCCAATGCAAAGCTCACCAACTACCAATGCAAAGCTCACCAACTGTCAATGCAAAGCTCACCACTTTTTTTAAATAAAAAAAGTTAAAAAAATAACACCACCACTCAGTCACCACTCAACCACCACTCAACCACCGGTCCACGGCAACAGTGGGAGTCATCGGTGGTGGACATTGGTCATGGGCGGTCAAAGTGTAAAGCTCAACAACTATCAATGCAAAGCTCACCAACTGTCAATGGAAAGCTCACAAAGGAACAATGTAAAGCTCACCACTTTTTTTTAAAAAAAAGCTAATAAAGCAAAGCTCATCACACTACACTACAAAGCTCACCAATGGACAATGCAAAGCTCACCTGAAAAATAAAGCAAAGCTCACCACTTTGAACCCTAAAACTCACCTTTTTTAAATTTTAAAAATTAAAAAATTAATTAAAAATAAAATAACAACACCGGTCAACCACCGGTCAAGGGCGGCGGAGCAGCAGTGGCGGCCAGAGCCTGACGGCGGCGGCCGGAGTCCGGCGACGGCGACCGGATTCCGGCGACCGGCGGCTACCGGCGGAGGCGACCGGCGACCGGCGGCGGCGGCGGTGACCGGATTCCGGTGACCGGTGGCAGGCGGCGGTCAACAGTCACAGCACCCTTTCCTTTGATTTTTTTTTTGGAAAAAAATTCAAAGTGTTGAAAAAATATGGTGAGCTTTGCCTTACACTTTGGTGAGCTTTGTAGTTGTCTTTGGTGGGCTTTGCAGTGACCGTGGTGAGCTTTGTGTCATCTGACCGAAACATGTCATCTCACCGTAAGGTGTCATCTCACTGGAGTCAATCCCTATATATATATATATATATATATATATATATATATATATATATATATATATAATGTATTAGGGTTTTGTATCATCGAGCTCGTTAGTATTGGGCACGTAGTTAGATCATGGCTTTGTAGCTATTATAAATAGTTGATTTATGTTAGACTCTCCGTACATATAATAAAAAAGTTGTTGCATGCAGTATTGAGAAAGAAAGGAAAAACAAAAAAGTAGTGTTTTATTTTTGCCAATGGCGCAGGATGTGGGATGCAAAAATTTGGGTGACACGTTTGCAATTTTAGTTTACAATATTACCCTTGCATCTCGAAACTTACCTAGTCTATTAAATGCAATTATTACCTACCATAATTACTTGACATCTTAATTCCATCCAAGGAATTAAAACTAACTGCACGATGCACATATTTAGATGGTTACGATTTATTCTTATTTCTTTCACAATGGACCATTCTCACCTGAACTGCACCCTATATATATGTGTGTGTGTATTTATATACTGTGTATGATATGCATTTTGACTAGGGCTGTAAATGGATAGCCGAAAATCCGATTACCGTCTGCATCCGTATCTGTTTAAAGAGGAAATATCCGCATCCGTTTTAAACGGATATTATCCGTATCCGATTAAGGATATCCGATTACTAAACGGATACGGATCTGGTAATTGTATATCGGATCCGTTTAAAATCCGATCCGAATATGCATCCGTTTAAATAACCGTTTATCTGAATATCCGATCCGTTATATATAGTTTTTTCTAATTTTTTATGTTTATAATTTGTTTCTCTATTGATATTTCAAAATATAAGATATTTTTATATACAAAATAAATATGTAGACACATAAAAATAAATACAGACATATAAAAATATGTGTATATGTGTGCTGTGTATATCGTTTTATTATATGAAGTTATCGTAAAATATTATAAATCATGAAAACAAAGAAAATAATAATCTTATACCAACTTATAATTGATTTAATAATAGTTTGACTTTAATCTAATTTAAAATTAAAGTATTGTTTAATTTGATTTTAAAAATTAGAAACGGATACGGATTTATCCGATATCCGACCGATATCCGACGGATGCGGATACGGTTTTGATTTTCAGTATCTGTCAAGATCCGTATCCGAATTCGATATCCGACAAAAATAAACGGATATGGATTTGGTAATGGCACATCCGATCCGATTAATATCCGTTTACACCCCTAATTTTGACATACCCTGAATCTCCATTTATAGCTTGGTGATAGAAGAATATATCTCCTCCCGTCCACAAAACCATTCTAATTTTTGACTTTTAAAAGATTTAAAGGTAGTATATTTTGGTGTTAACTTTCCAAAAATGCACTTGGATATGATAGGTTAAAGAAGATGTGATAGATAGATTAGTAATAAAAAATATGATGTGATATATATGTTAAATATTAATAGGGGTAAAAGTGAATTTCTAATAAAAATAAAAAAGGTTTTTTGGGATGGATGAAAAAAAAGGAGAAAAGTTTTGTGAGAAAGGAGTAATTTTTTTCAAAAATAAAAGAACATGAACTTTACTAAGATGTTCAAAAACGAAAATGATGTTTTTTGTATATATTAAAAAGAATAACCTTGTTTTAGAACATCCAAAAATTAATTGAAAATGGGGGATCAAATTATTTCCAAGAAAACCTCCGATCCTAAATAGGAGTAAAACATGTATTATATCTTCCAAGTAAGAGTTTAAACTTAAATTACTCTAAATAGGAGTAATTAACTATTTTTATTAATTAAATAATAGAAGTATTCACAGGCCATTCATTTCCTTTCGAAATTTTTGCTCCATATAACATTCACACACAAGAAACTTCCGTATATAGCACCAATAACTTTTTTTCCCCTAAATGGCACCTTTTATTATGTTAGTGGACCTATTTGTCCTCCACGCCACTCCCCTCTTTTTTTTTGTTTTTCTTTCCATGTAAAAAACCTATTTACTCATAATTATCTCCAAAAAAATAGGAACTAAAACCCAGCACCCATTAAGCGCACATCTGTCATCATCTAAACCCTCGCCATTTCTGTTTCTGTTCTTTTTCCGTTTTTCGTCCCCCCCTTCTCACCGCCCTGCTCTCTCAGCCGTTACCCCCCAGAAAAGGTATGTTCATGTTCTCCTGAAATTTGATGGTGTATGGTCTAATAATTCGGAATTTAACTCTGAGGGGTTTTATGAAATTGACGTCTGAGTTGTGGGGCTACGTATGAGGATCTTATACAATTAATCCGATTGACAATACCGTCATGTGCTGAAAATTCAGATTTTATAGTGTCATACACGTCCAATTGTACTCAGTCGCGTGTTTTTGTTCACGATGACTCTACCCTCGATTTTTACATTCGATTGAAACTGAATCATAGCAATGTCAGTGAGCTTCCCTTATGTGTTGTGTTATGGTCTAGTCATGATTCCTCATGTGATTCCGAATCCGATTTCAACGATACCTCTGAGGGGGACACATCTCCCCACGGTCATGCGAGCGCCCACGGTGGTGATGTCCGTGATATGCACCAAAGCAGCCCAAGTTGTAATCACTACGATCACCGTCTCGTACCTTCTGGGCCATTTCCGTTGTTTGAGACATACGGTGAGGACACGCAGGTCTAGAACAATTTGTTGTTGTCCAACAAAAGTTCAGTGTCACATAGTACCCGCATGTCTGCTGAGGAAATATCTACGTTAAGGGATTTGAAGGTTATATCCCGGTTTGATTCAACGACGATCGCGGTACGTGCAATTTATGAGAGCAAGAAGGATCTTCTTTTCCATCTTAAGAGATTGGCAATAGCCAATTACTTTTAGTTCAGGACAAAGAGATCAAACAGAAGTTTCCTCCATGTTGTATGTGTCGATTACAAAAGATGTAGCTGGGCGGTCCGGGCTGTGCATTTGGATAAAAAAGTGGACTTCTTTCAAGTTCGCAGGTTCGTCCTTTAAACCTTTCTTTTTGTTTTATGTTGGTCACATCTTTGTTTTTAATGACCAATAGTCATACATATAATGACTACATATTTATGCACAGTGGTCATTTTTTACTGCGTTAAAGTCCATGTAATACATAATGAAATCTACTCTTTTTGCCACAACCTTTTCTTTATATTTCCTTGTTCCCATACTATATTTAGATTTCTTCATATTCACTTCATTCTTTCTAAACACTCATAATGTCCATTCGTTTTTACGTAATGACTATTTATTTTAACATACTCTCCTAATGCTTAAATATTGTGTGGCTTTATTGTCTTCCATACTGACATAATGCCTAATTACCTTTTACTGTCTAGGTTTTGAATATATGCAGCGCATAATTTCCTCATGTAATGCCCATTTATTTTTACATACTGTCATAATATAATGACTATTAACGTAATGACCACTTATTTTAGCATATTGTCCTAATGATTAAATATTGTGTGTATACATTTCGTTCCATAATGTCATAATGCTTGATTAAATATACTGAACTGGATTTGAATATATGTCGTGCATAATGGCTTTATATAATGGCTATCCACTTTCTCATACTGTCTTCATATAATGACTATTCACGTAATGACTATTTATTTAAATATACTGTCCTGACGCTGACATAATGCGTGTCTTTATTTTGTTTATTACTGACTTAATGTTTTTTTAACTCTTACTGACTTGGATTCGAACATAGCCCGTGCATAATGTCCTTATAAATGCTCTCAATGTGGACAAACTATTTGTTTACTCCAATTTAAGGAATTTGCATATTAAAGTTAAGTTTATTGTATTCATTTTGCACTGTGTTACCCAGGTATGACCACGAGTATCAATACCCTATAGATGCACGTCAAGGGAAAACAAGACAAGCTACTTATGATGTTGTCGCAAATTTTGTGAAACATCAATTTCATGATGCAACAAAGAAGCCTTACCCGCCCAAACCAATTATGGCAGACATGCAAAGGGAGCATGGTATTTATGACATATAAAAAGGCGTGGTTTGCAAAAGAAAAGGCTCTTCAACTCTGTTTTGGAACTCCGGAGGAATCTTATGCATCATTGTCGGCTTTGTCTTTTATGTTGAGTGAGGCTAATCCGGGGTCGTTTATACAGCTCTCAACGACCCCAAGAAATCTTTTCAAACACTTCTTCATTTCACTTTCAGCATGGAGGGACGGGTGGCAACATTGTATCCCGGTGTTGATTATTGATGGTTCGTTTATGAAATCATACTACAAGGGAACTTTATTAAGTGCAGTCACACGGGATGGTAATAACCAGATTTTCCCTTTAGCTTTTGGATTCTGTGATAAAGAAAATACTGTGAATTGGTCCTAGTTTCTAACGAAGGTCAAGGAAGCCTTGGATTATCGTCCCGTTCAGTGTGTAATATCCGATCGGCATGAGGGTATATTAAGCGCGGTGTACACTGTATTCTCCGGTGTAAGTCATGGCCATTGCATTTATCATATTTTTGGGAACATAAAACACAATTTCCGTGGCTCTCAAAATTCGTTGTCTTGGGAGTTTTATGGTGCTGCACGTGCTGCATCCAAAGCAGAATGCTACCAGTATTTAATTTGCAATACTTGGAGCAAGATGATCCACGCATTATTCCATACTTGGATGATATTGGCTTTGAGAAATGGGCTAGGTCATTTTCCACCACCTGTTTCTCCATAATGACCTCAAATCTTGCGGAGTCCATGAACAGCGTTGATGCTGTTCCACGAGAATATCCTATTGCCAGGGTAGTAGATTTCTTGCTAGGGTAGTCAGTCATAACACCAAAAAAATGACTATGAGTCAGTCCTTCACTGACCCACCAAAATGACCAAGACATATATTTTAATCTAATAAAATGTCTATACTCTAGCAGTATAAATCCTCATACAACAGGGGAAGCAGCCATGCCATTCAAACAAAAACTCAACCAAAAGTAAGAACATAAAAAACCTTCACAGAACAAACACAGTTAAACAGGCCCATTCAGTAAAGGCCAACTAAAATGACTAAATAGTGTAACACTTAAACTCTAACAAAATGACTCCAAACACATATGAATGCATTACGTTAAGTCAATAACATAACACAGTCAGAAGACACCAAATGTCTGGGTGTTCTTATCCTTGGAATTCATTCTGGAACAAAACTCATACTACTCCCACATGACTACCATTACATAACACAATCAATCAATTCACATGACCATAACAATGTCTACTTTATTCAAATTTATTCACCAACCAAACACATTCTACCTGGCCAATAGAAACTGCTGCTCTAAAATCACTAAGAGTGAAACAAAACACTCTTATACATTCATTTCCAAACAATAATGTCTGCCTTCATTATCAACACATATATACCCCATCCATAACAATAAACATGAATGCCTGTGTTCTCATTATATATCTGTCAGGAACTAGCATCAGTACAAACCAATATGTCTATCATTAGAAAACAAATTCTATTAATTCCAAAACCAATACATGGGGCATTAACCAAACACCTTGCCTACACATACTTATCGATAGTCCCAATTAACCCAACCCAAAACCCCAAAAAAATTCTGTAAAACACCCAAAAAAACAACCTGAGGTCAATGACCCAACAATGCGTCAGGCATTATAATGACCAACCAATTACAGTCAGTTAAGCCTATTCCATTAGGTCATTAAACAAACACTTTTTCACACGAAACTGCAAAAAAACAAAAAATAAACACCTCAAAAATGACCTATAGTCTCACAATTTCAGCCCCACAACTAAGAAATGACTATCACACATTGCAGTCCACATCCTCAATGTTCCAGCCAAAATTCAAATTAACCCCAATTTCAAATTTTAAACTGCAACCAAACCAAAATTCCAATTACACACACTTACACTTCCATTCCTCAACCTCACCAACATCCTAGAGTTCAGATCCGGCGGCAGCTCAGTGACGAAGTCATTTTCCTCGTCATCGACAGCTCTTCCAGAGAATGAACTCCTTGCCATGGCTGACAAACTGTATTCAAGAAGCAGCTTCTGTATAGCGCAAGCTCTAATCAATTCGCCCTACTGACCTTCGTATCACTGTAAACCTTCGTATCACTGTAAAACTCCAATTAGCCAAGGAAACAAAATCTCCATGCAAATAGGGATTGGTTTGTTCCCTTCGCCGTTTGGATTCTTCGTATAGCCAGCGCCGTAAAAGCCGCCCTTCCTTTTTTTGTTTTTTTATGCTTTTCATTAAAGCTCAGGGCATTATGGTCTATTCCCATAAAAAACGTAATGGGGAATAGCACTGGTGCTATTTGGGGAAACGGAACATCCATTGGTGCTATTTGTGTAATTTTCTCTTTTCTTTCCATCATCAAGTCACCATCGCCAGTAGGAGTCCGCTACCCACCATCGCCTGGCCAATTAATTCAGTTAGATCAATTAGGAGAGAAGCGACCAACGAGGGATGGGAAGCAATTGCAGATGGAGCGACTACCAAAAATCTATCGTGATTGGTGTGTTTCAATTTCAAGGTGTGTTCTTCATTTGAAGTGAGAGATCTCTTGAAATTAGTTTTTTTTTGTTTGCATTGGGTTTGATACACATGAAGATCAAATTCGGTGCTAGATGCGAGCAGATACACATGAAGGTCAAGAGTCTTTCATTTTGTTTTTGACATTGTACAATTGAACTTTTGGCATTTTGGAGAGCCACAATTGTCATTGTGCATTGGCATGCATCGATCTTTGGTATTTTGTTTTCGATTGACCTAAAATTTTGTATTTTTGCATCTTACAATGTCATGTTTGTCACTGTACATTGTTATTTTTAGCATTGCATTCTCGATTGACACTGTATGAATTGTTTTTCTCCATGTAGCACCATGGCACTACACTTGTGGGGGTTTGCGATGCCGACAACGTGCGACGACAACATGAGCAAGGGGTGATGGATGAAAGTGGCAGATCTTGGCGGCGGCAAACAGTGAATCAACAACTCCTATTTTGGGAGTTTTATGCTCTCACTCCTATTTTGGATTTTAATCAATGTTTTACTCCTATATATTTTTCTCCTTAACCCATTATTTCCATAGAAATTTTTTTTATTAGTGCACTCCATGACTCCCGTTTTCCCATTTCTATACAAGTATTTTTCTTTTGTCTTTTTATTTATTTCTTTTTTCATTTCATTTTTCTCTTAATTATTTCTTTAAAATAAAACTATCAAACTTTGACAAATAATAGAAACTAGAGGATAGCAAACCAAATGAAAGAAATCCAAGCAAATCCACCATCAAAACATACCCAAAAATTCTCCCACCTCACACATCCAACCAACCTCTTCTTACAATGGATGAAGAAACAAATTGAACCACAATCTTATTTTTCTATCAAGAGGGAGCAAGAGGGAGAGAGAACTCCAAACATGACGACCACCACCGCCACCACAACCGCCGCCGTGGTCGTGTCCGTTCTCTCCCTCCTGTTCCAGATCTCAGCGGGGGAGACATACGTGTACGACAACAGCCTGAAGGCGACCCTCTTCCCCAACATCGAGATCACGCTGGCCAACGACTACCACCGGCCGATCTACTTCATGTGCAAGAACACCGACAGGGACAAGAGGCTCCACCCGCTGGGCGTGGGCGAGACGTACCGCTTCAACTTCACGCAGGTGGCGTTCCCCATGCGGTGGTGCTTCCTGTACATAAACTCCCACACCCACGGGTTCCTGTGGGTGTACAACATGCGGTCCAGATGCACCAAGTGCTTCTGGAGCATCACTAATTTCCCCAACCTCTTCCGGACGGACCGGGTCCGGTGGGAGCGCCAGAAGTTGTTTCTTCCCCTTGGGTTTGACATTACGCAATTCTTGGTTAGAGAGTCCTCGCTTTGGCCATGAAGTATATATACATGAATATATGCATGCATGCATGCATGCACCCCATTAAACACGAATGCACCCACCTAAAATGTCTCAAATATAACCCATTATATAGTTTATTGTGGGTAGAAATTGTTTTAAGGGTATTTCAGACATTTTAGGTGGGATAAAAGTATTTTATGGGGTACGTAAAAACTTAAGGCATGACCATTTTTCTTCTTTTATTTTTGCCCTTTTTTGTATGTACTCTATCCACTTTAAAACGTCTTCATATTTGATTTTTCTTGGTTATATTTTATAAATTTTATTTTTCTTGGTTATATTTTATAAATTTTAATTTGATGGTAAATTATGAAAAAAAGAGATAATTTAATTATTATGTAAATTTAAGGTTATAGCTGTTAATTGGTGACCCTGAAATATCAATGCACAATTTTTTAGACGGATTTGTTAAGTACGATCAAACAAAAAACATCGAATATAGACGTCAAGTATAGGCGGATGAAGTTAATATATAGACGTCAAGTATTGGGAGTATATTATGGTTTGACTTTCTTTGTCAAACTTTGACACTCTTTAATTTAAAAAAAATTAATTATCATTTTTATAATTAGTGGTTAAAAATAAAAAAATTGGCGAAGAAAAGCCAAAGCGGGAAGGAATTTTTTTAGGAAGAAGTGTTTGTAATAGGAGTAGCTTCTCGCGCGCTTAAGAGTTTGAATATCTTTTTTAACTTTTTTTTTGAATTGTGAATGCATTAATTTTAGTTTTAAAACTATGGATGATTTTAATCTATTGAATTGAAATGTGTTAGAGTCTATCCCACATCGGAAAGTTGAATAGAAAAGTTATCGGTATATAAGCTCTTAAGTTTAACTAACTAATCGATTGAATTCAATCTTTTAATGTGGTTCAACCCAAGTGTCTTATTACTCAATCCAGTTGTCCATACCCCATCTTAAATTGTATCATGGTATCAAAGCAGGTTTTGGCCCACCTCGTTTGTCAAGGTGTCCGTCTAGACGTTCATTCCTAGCGACCCGTTAGTCTTTAGCCCAGTTGTCCGATACAGCACAAGGGAGAGCCACACCCTAAAAGCTAGCTGATAAGGTGGGAGAACCCTTGGCTATATAAACCCATCACCAAGTTCCCCATTTAACCGGTGTGGGACAATGAAATCAGTCCGTATCATTCGACCCCCCATAAGGCCCAACGTCCTTGTTGGTCACAGCTACATTGGTCACGGCCACGTTGGTCACGGCTGGTTTCACCAAGCCACCACTCCGAGTTGGCTCTGATACCATTGATACAACACAAGGGAGAGCCACACCCTAAAAGCTAGCTGATAAGGTGGGAGAACCCTTGGCTATATAAACCCATCACGTTATTGGTATATAAGCTATTGAGTTTAACTGGCTTCGACAATGGCTAGACAATCAGATAATAATGTTGCCTTCAAATAATATTGTTTTCATGCCTAGACTTTAGACTTACTAGAGAATTTTGCGGTCATAGTACAAATATGAAAAAAATTCTTTTTTTAGTATTGTGTATATCAAGCATTGAATTTAGAGTAATGCTAGAGTCACATGCAATCCGTTCACAAAATTCACAAACTTGCCTTTTTAGCACTTTCCTAGAAATAAGATGCACTCAAATAATAATATTTAAAATTCACAAAAGGCAAGTTTGTGTAATTTGTGAACTATAAATTTGTGACTCTAGCATTTTCCTTGAATTTACGGGTGCAAAATGATTACAAGCATTAGGAACGATTATGACAAATATTAATAATAGTATACGTCTTATATAGGATATGATAGTAGATTAAAGTCATGTTCTTTTTAACTAATTTTTACTTTTTCTTACTGAATTCAAATCAGATCAAAAATAATTTTAAATATAACTTCATTCAGATCAGATCAAAACTTATTCCAATCAGATTAGAACTATTCAGATCAGGTGAAGAGAACATGGTATATAAGTATAATAAGTGATTAACCATGCATGTAATTTCTATCAATTTTATATTGTAATAAATTACTCCGTATTTAATACTCTCTCTGTCGTCCCATTTTAAATTGTCCATTTGCCTTTGTTCTTCGTCCCAAAATAAGTTACTTGTTACTTGTTATCGTAAACTTTTAAGAGTAAAATACCTAAACTACACCTAAAATAAGTCACTCTTCTCCACCTTATCTTTGCATTCATCATCACCCCTCTTAAAAAGTAAATGCAGTTTTGGAAAATCAACTCTATTTTTTCTCTTCCTTAAATATACCCAAAAGTCAAAACAGATGATTTAAAACGGGACGGAGGGAGTACTTGCTAGGATCAAATCCACTCACACACACCAAATCACATGATGAAGAAGTAATTTCAAGATAGATTGGTACCTAAAGCTAGAGAGAGATCCGTAAATTTTCATGGTAATGCCTTGTGAGTAAACTTCCATGACAATGTGATATATATGTTGATGATTTAATTTAGTATGTACAATTATAGAGAATAGGTGAAGAATAAATAGTATAACCTAAAAGTTTAGTCGAAGCGCTGGCGAGAATCGCCCCTCTCCGGATGGAGGCTCCCGCCCCCCATACCCCCAACAACCTCACCCGGGGAGGTTGAACCGCTTGAAGATTAATATATGATCGTATATCAAATATTAATCAGACTCCACAACCTAATAATACTTCCATAAATATGTTTTACTCGGTAATGTCCAAAAATACTTATAAATTTCAAAATTATCAATTTGTATTCCAAGTCTTATTTCAAAATTAAAAGTCTTATTACTTTTTACTGATACTATTCCTAGTGCGAACAAACTAACAGTGGTCCATGAAAAAGTTGAGTTATCCGAAGACAGAGCTTCTGCTGGGCATTGTTTTAGTCAAGGGGCAGGGGGAAATGAACATCCAGACTTCTATGGAGTTTATAGCTCCTCAAAATAATGAAGAACATGGGATACAGACAGTAGCTCTACTGCAAAAAGACTGAGTTCTAAGTGTTAAGGATAGTGATCATGCCACTCCTGGGGGGGTTGAACACAGAAGAAGAGTCTTTAATTAAAAGCATGTCTACTGAACCATGAAGAGCAGATGATTATCGAAGGGCTGTTTAAGCAAGCACCAGAAGTGGAAGTTTCAAGAACAGATGGTCCAATTCAATTTGAACTTAAGCTAATGATGATCATTGATGATAATGTGGAAGAACCCATCTCCAAAAGGAGTTTGAGATTCTTATTAAGCCCATATTATTAGCGATGATTTCGAGCAATCTCTATGGATGATTAAGGAATCTTTGCGTTCGCCTTTCATCAAGGAAAAGATTCATAGACTATGAATGAATGGAAGGACTTCTCTGGACTCTTTCACTGTGGTTTGTTTACTTACTTCTAATATGGAATGGTACACTACCTCTTTAATATTCTTCCAAGTCAAAGTACAGCCATTTTCCTGCAGTAGAGAGGTCCACCACATTGGGTTGAGATGTTTGAAGTATACTTTGGCTTCAGAGATGGCAGACACAAAAGATAAGAGCTTTCTTCTCCAACCATATGAACACAACAAGAGACAAAACAAAGCATTGTGACCTATTTTAGTTGTTGCTTTTTTGATGTTCAATTTTTATCTTTGGACTTTTAGAGTTTTCATGCCTCGTAGGGGTCCGGCCAACCCCCTCCTTTGTACTTCTTTTCTCTTTCTTTTTCAATAAAAAACATTAAAAAAAAAAAGTCTTATTTCTGGTTGGAAATTCATGTCAATACTTCTATAAATAAGAAATTTTATATGAATACTCCAAAATTGCACAATTAATTATCACTAGTGTTTACAAAAATTCAAAATTTACAATAATTTTCCAAGATTGCATATTGATCACAGATACCCCTTAAAAATAAGAGAAATCATGTAAAGTATAATAATACACATTGCACATAGTATAAAATGTTCTAAGGCCAAAATGGTGGGAAAAATAAAAAGAATGCAAAAACCTTACAGAATGGACCTTACAAAAATTGTAGTAGCTCTACAAAAATTGGGAGTAAATATTGCCCGCACATTTTAGCAGTACACACCATGTTCCATATTTTTTTTGTCACAATCCCTACAATTAACCTCCTAATCTTCTAGGTATGATTACAAAAAAGTCACAAAATTACAAAAGATTACTACACAAAAACATATACAATGTATAGGGTCTTGTTGAACTTGATAGTGTCCCTCTCTGGCCTACCCTCCACATTCTCACCGGTGGCAGAAGGCTTGGATTCCTGCAAACTTCTGTTCTTAAATAATTGTCTAGTATGACTCTGTCTACATACATTAAGAACGGAATGAATGTGGACACAATGCCCGTCCACGTTCATTCAATGAACGAATGTTGGCATAAATTATGTTCATATTCGTTCAATATATCAAAAGAGACAATTAGACAACTAAAGGAGAGAACAAAGGAAATACTTTCCCCCGGTTCATTGGCATTTAGCTATATGTTTGCAGAGAAACCGCGTGTGGAGATTTTTCTTGCTGATGATGAAGGGTCTATTTTTTCTGGAAGGTGATCAAACAGAAGAAGGCAATGCCACGACTGACAATGCCGGTGACAATGAGGTAAACCAAACAAGGATACCAGTCTTCAAGACCATAACCTCTTTGTTTCAAGGAGCCACATCTTGTGATCAGCCATACTCCGTAGTACCTGCAGATTCCATTACTTAATGAGAAAAGGTTGTAATAAGCCACAAACTTGCAAGTCAACAGGGCACAATGGCATTTTGACTACCTAGAATTCCATTGACATTCTATTTAGCCTTTGACACAGTCTTTCTTTTTGCTTTGCTAGGACTTCTTTTTATTTTTTTGCTTATCAGCCATATTTTCTACCAAACACATTTCTTTTATTGTACTGGCTATAAAAATAGAGAGAGAGAGAGAGAGAGAGAGAGATGTACATTTTTTGGTGAAGCTAAATTGCTCAAACCAGAGGAAATGACACGTTTCACACTTCTTTTCTACATTATTTTAAAACATAATTATTTTTACGGGTGACTTGACACGCTTGTATCACAATTCCAGCAACTTATGTTATTTCAACCCGATATTGTATTAACGTAATCAAACAGGCTCTAAGAAGCCAATTAGCTGATATTTACTGTGGTTTATGGTTTTCTTCATCATGCTAAATTGTAAATATTTCTAACGAGTTGAACCATAGGCTAGCGTCATAATGCCTAGTTTGAATCATCTACTTGTAACTTGTTGGAAAACTTCAGTCCTCCTAGAGTGCTAAAAGTGTAATTTGCAAGGACAGTGGAAGGTGCTTAAAATGGCCAGGCAAATTACACACATAGCAAACAGTAGAAGCTTTTTTTTTCCTCCCAGTATGTGGTAGTCTCTTTTGGGGAGCTTTTGTGAAAAAGAGCATTTGGCCTAAAGGACACCCACAAGAAGTGTTTAATAAAACACTAGTTTGGAAGTTTTTTCGGTCCCAAAAAGCTGGTGTACAAAAAAAATGTTTTCCAAAAAAATTGGAGCAATTGTTTATAGCTTTTTGAAGTAGTTTTCAAGTTTGGTTTGAAAAAAATAAAAACATGTTTTCAAGATTTTGGGAACAACTGCCAAAGAACTATCTCTTTAAAACTAGTCGCCAAGTGTCTAACCTTTTGGCATTTGCTATCAAAAATGATTCCAAAGCCCACTTGGTATAACAAAAATCCCCCAGTCTCATCACAAATGGATCACCTTCTTGGTTCGCTACAAGAGTCAACACAACTGGAACAAGAACAGACCACTGCACCGGACAAACAACAAAAGAATAGCAAAAGATCAGATTCTGGATGATAATAAATTACTCTGTATAATACAAGGCTGAAATCTATATAAGCTCATTCATATATCTAAAATAAAATAATTAAACTGGTACTAATGTGGCGTTTTGACTTTTGATGTAAAGAGAAGTGCTTACCAGTTGGGCTTGACCGGGAGTGAGGTAGATGGCAAGTGCATAAGCTATTCCAGTGACACAATAAATGAGACAGATAAGAACAATATAGTTATCCAGAATTGTAGATCTTGGGTTGTTGAAGAAATAGAACATAGACAGATAAACTGCTGGCTTTACAATTGTATTGAAATGGTCAATTGTATCCTTTGCTAGGAAATATGCCAAGCTGCTCATACCAGACCCACTCTCTCTCCAGTAGTATACTTTATCCTGAGAAAAGGATCTTAATGCTGCAATCTTGCTGAGTAAAGCTATAAACAGAAACAAGAATTTCAGTAAGTGAGAATGGATCCATAAAAAATAAGGACAAATTTGTCAAAGTGCAAAGAAACTTGAGGGCATTGCGCTTACAGACAGCAATGACGGTGTAAAGATATCCCAAGGATCCAAAAGTTTCATCACTCACTTTAGCAAGTGTTCCTAAGCATATTCCAGCAAGTAAGAGAATGAGATAATCTACTGCTTGTATTCTAGCATCTCGCAATCTCTGCTTACCGATCCTGGAGAAATTGTAATGCTGTTGTGTTATACTCCGTAAAAAGAAATGATGAAAATGGCCATATCAAAACTAGATAATTCAAAAATGGGGTTCTCAGGGGATATGAATGTTATCTGGTTCCTCCTTTCTGCAAATCAATTTTATAGCCCATTTGTCCATATATTATGCGCCTTTTGAATTTGCACGCGTTTAAGAAAATAAAATCCTGAGGTCGAGATTTATTTAGAAATGAATGAATCAATAAGAAAGAGACAGAAAAAAGGGATAGAGAGACTATTACATTGTGGAGGCATTCTGTTTTAATTTAGCATAAGTTATGAAGTTTATCAGAGATCATTTGCTATACAAGGACAAAGTATGATTCTTGAGAAGGAGAATGGAAGGAATAAATTGAAAATAGGGTTAAATATGTTTTTAGTCCCTATAAAATGGGTGATTTTTGTTTTTGTTCCATGTAAAATATTTTTTTGTTAGTCCTCCTTACAAAAAAATTATTTTAAAAATGGTCCTTAAATATAATTTAGACATCTAATTTGTTGAGATAAGACATTTATTTCATAATCAACATCTTAATCATGCATTTCTAATTGCTTCAGACACAATTCTCATGCCATAGATTGTCTTTTTCATCAAATTACATTCCCAATTTCCAAATTTTGTTATACTATATACTTAAAAAATTTGGAAATTGTAGATGCAATATGAATATAAAATTTAGGGCATGAGAATTATACCGGAGGTCCGGAGGTAGTAGAAATACAAGACCAGGATGTTTAGTACTAGATAAATGTGTTATGTCAACAAATTAGAAGTATAGATTTTGTTCAAGGACCATTTTAAAAATAAATTTTTTTGTAAAGATGACTTGTCAAAAAAATATTTTACAGGGACCAAAAATCAAAGTCATCTATTTTACAAGGACCAAAAACATATGTGTAAGGACATTAAACTCATTAACTTGTGTTTTGCAGATGACTTGATAGTCATATGTAGAGCAGATGAGAAGTCCATTAAGTGTGTCATGGAGTCCCTAGCCCACTTTAAAAAGACGACAGGTCTATCTATCAATCTTGGCAAATCTCAGATTGTAATGGCAGGGATCAATCACAAAGAGAAGAAAAGGCTCATTGAGATGACTAAGATAACAGAGGGTAAACTACCTTTCACATACTTAGGCTGCCCTATCACTACAAGTAAAATGTCAAGTGCTGACTGTGATTTGTTCATTGAGAAGATAACGTCAAGGATAACAAGTTGGGCCACCAAACACCTATCATATGCAGGAAGATCTAGGTTGATAAACTCAGTTCTGTTTGGAATCATTAATTTCTGGTGTAGAATTTTCATTATTCCTGGCAGGGTAATGAAGAAGGTGCAAGCCTTATGTAGAAACTATCTCTGGGGAGCAGCTGAAAAGTATAAAAGGGTCCCATTGGTTAACTGGGAAGACACTTGCAAACCAAAAGGAAGTGGAGGGCTGGGGTTCAGAAACGTAAATGCTTGGAATAAAGCCTTGGTGATGAAGCTGAACTGGGATATTGCAAACAAGAAGGATAATTTATG